TACTGGGGTGGATCATCAACCTCAAGAAATCCGACCTGGTACCCATCCAGGACTTGGTTTTTCTCTGGGCGAGGTTCCAAACTCACAAGGATCTTGTTTCCTTGTCGCCCGTCCGGGTCACCAGAGTAGGGGAGATGGTGTCTTCGTTCCTCTCCCAGCCCCAGGCACCAGCACGGACTTGGCTCCGTCTACTACATGTCCAGGGCCAGGTGGTTCGTCTTCAGTTGGACAACCGAACAGCCATGTCGTACATCCTGAAGCAAGGCGGTCTGTCGGTGTCTTGAAGCTCCGAAGCCGCGGGAGGCGTGGGACTTTCTCCTCTGGTATTCGAAGATGCGACCAGTGCGATTGCCAGGAACTCCCTGAAAATCTCCCCGGGGCTGAGAGAGCGTCGGCCGGACGCTCTCTCTCTCGCCGGATCCTGGCCCTGCACGAGTGGATGCTCGACCGGCAGATATTCTGAGTTATCTCCCAGTTGTACGGGTCGTTCCAGGTGGATCTGTTTGCGTCCGGCGGGACGAATCAGATACCCGTGTTCAGCTCTCGAATACCGGACCCGAGGGCGTTGGCTGCCGACGCCTTCCTGCTGGATTGGACGGGCAAAGTGCTCTGGGCGTTCCTGCCGTTACCACTCATTCCCCGGGTCCTCTCCCAGCTGTCCACCCAGCCAGCTCGGCTGCTTGTGCTACTGGCACCGCTTTGGCCGTCACAGAGCTGGTTTCCGGTAATTCTCAGGTTTCTGGCTCAGCCTCCTGTTCTATTACCTTTGCGACCGGACATTCTCACTCAGAACGGCGCGCCATACCCCAATCCAAGGATTCAGTGGGTGGCTTGGCCTCTGTCAGGTCTAGCCTCGAAGCACGCGGAATTCCTGCAGCAGTTGCAGACACAATTCTGGCTTCGAGGCGGGATTCGACAAACGTTCAGTATGAGGATAGGTGGTCCCGCAATGCGCGCTGGTGTTCAGATAGGGGGATTGCAGACCCTTTTCTGCGGATTTAGTCCGAGTATTGGTGTTTTTGCAAGCTCGTTTGGAAGAAGGCCTGGCGGCTTCGACCATTCGTGGCTACTCCACCGCTATTTCCACCTTTCACACCCCTGTCGATGGTGCCCTTCTGGGGCAGCACCCTACAGCGCTTTTTAGCTGGCGCGGATAGGGTTCGACCTGCTGTCAGGCGAACCAGCCCACCTTGGGATTTGTCAATCGTGCTCGATTGGCTGTCCGGTCCTACGTTCTCACATCTATCGGCTATTTCCATACAGTTGTTAACATGGAAGGCTGTATTTCTGGTGGCGGTAACATCTGGGCGTAGGGTTGGCGACTTACATGCTATGTCGTCCGACCTGGCGCTGACTGTGTTCCACACTGATAGTGTCAGTATTCGCCTCCCGGATACTTACCGCCCGAAGGTCGATCACGCTTTCCATGTGACAGCTCCTATCAAACTTCCTACTCTTACCCAGCCTTCCACATCGGGGACCTCTCCTACGAGCACTCACCCGTCGGATGTCCGAAAGACTCTCAAGGTCTATATCAAACGAACACAAGGGATCCATACGGGTACCCATCTGTTCTGCTGTTACGGTGGCGGGAAGGCTGGGGTGCCGGCGAGCAAACAGACCCTGTCTCGCTGGCTTGTCTCGGTCATTTGTGCTGCTTATCAGGCTAAGGGCAAGCCTCCCCCTGAGGGGTTGAAGGCTCACTCGGTCAGGGCAGTAGCCACGTCAAAAACTTTTGCATCGGCACTACCCATTGAAGAGATATGCTCTGCCGCTATGTGGAGCCGGCCTAGCACTTTTATCGGCACTATCAGCTCGATACACATTCACGTAATCGTGCGAGCTTTGGCCGTTCTGTTCTCTCCAGTGGACAGTGTCCTGCCACCCTGACCGAGTGAGTCTTGGTTATCTGGTTTAGTTGACGCTGCTGTTCAATATTGTGTTTTATTGATATGTCCACTGCTGGGTGTATAACCTCCTTTCGATTCTCTACGGAGATTATGGTTTAGTTGACGCTGCTGTTCAATATTGTGTTTTATTGATATGTCCACTGCTGGGTGTATAACCTCCTTTCGATTCTCTACGGAGATTATGGTCGGTAGTGAGTGTTTTTTCCCCCCTACGGTGCTCTCTATAGACCATAAGGTGGGTGGGGTTTGTTTACGTTCGCACTACGTGCGTTCTCATTATGCTAACCTGCAAGTTCGACTCTCAGTACCTTTCCTCCCTGTCAGTTACCCTCCCATCATGCCTCTCGCGGAAGCTCAAACCGGGACATGTGACAGGTGAGTGATTATGGCGTATGTTACATTATTCTTAACGATCGCTATTTGTGTGTACTTTGAAAGAATTCCTCCTCCCTGGCCTCCGGTCTTTGGGAGTCTGTGTTTATGCATATATGTACCCCAAGGACGATCTCTATGAAAAAGAATTAACCAAACCTGAAGAGGTTTTCAATTCTTTGAAGAGAGTTGTCCTTGGGGTAGGGCCTCTCGCCTCCCCGCAATTCTGTTCACTGATTTATTCAGCAGAAGGAATGATGATACGGGCCTAGGTGCTTACCCAGTTGGCTGCGCATGCGTAACGGGAGGTAACTCCATGAGGTGGGGGCCGTATAATAAATAAAAAGATTTTTATTTATTGTACAATATTTTTATTAAAAAACATTGATACCACTGTCACAGGACATTTTCAGCGCAGAAAATGCATATATGTACCCCAAGGACGACTCTCTTCAAAGAATTGAAAACCTCTTCAGGTTTGGTTAAATTTTGGTGACCTTCACATAATTTGTAGGGTCACGACGACACTATGAAGATTTCAGAATGTTAACCTCAATAAGCAATTTCTTTAGTACTTGTTTTGCATATTTCATACACTGTCATTCATGTCAAGGTCAAAGTCAGTCTTGAAAATATGTGTGTGTTTGAACAACTAAAGAGCAAGATAACGTTTTTGTTGACATTTAACTTCATCTTAAACTTTCATTACTTTATAAGTTTGATTTGATAATTTGCGGCGGGGCATTATGTCACCTTAACTCAAAACTGAATCTCACGCTTTTGGGGCAGTTAAAAACACACATTTTGTCAGGTAATGGTTTCATTGTTTCAATCTGGGCTGACATTTCAGGGTGAATCCACAAGTGTAAGTATTTGTATAGAAAATACATAGCATACAGTACAACTGATACACTAGATAGTCGTGGTGACAAGTATCATTAATGACGGGTTAGTACACTGTTATTTCAAAATGTTTCTCCTTAACGATTAGACTCTGAGTTAACTATTACTAGACTCTAGTTAGTACAGCTTTACATGACAGCTTCTGCGGAAATATTAGTTGGTCGTGTTTTAACTCAGTTTTGTTGACTGTCACTACACATTTGTTAGCAGAGCATTACGTGACAGTTTCTGCTGAAATATTTGGTCACGATGACTGTATTTAACTATTACGTATTAAAATGTTACTACACATTTGTTAGTAGAGCTTTACATGACAGTTTCTGCTGAATTATTAGTTAGTCCACTTGAGGTGTGTTCTAACGGTGCGACTTGCAGTAACAACTTGTAGCATATGACTTGTATTAACAACATAACGTTTTTGTTATTTGTGTACTTTTTAAGTCACATACAATTTGTTTCTCGCGAGATTCTCACGTATGACACACCAACAGAGATTGATCGAGTGAAGAAGAAAGGCTAACGTTAATGTCAGTCTACATATCTACGCGATTGCCTCCATGGTGTAGTGGTTAGAGCATCCGCCCGGAGTGCGGAAGGTCGCGGGTTCGATCCCCGACCACGTCATACCAAAAGACGTTAAAATATGATACTTGTTGGTCCCTGCCTGGCGCTCGGCATTAATGGGTACAACAAGGACTGGTCGGCTCGGAGTTAGTATAATGTGTCTGTGTGGGGTATTCATGCTTCACTGCGGCATGGTATCTCAGTGGGCTAGCACTATAAAACCAGCTTCAGTCTGGGCTAGTACAAGCAGCCGCACATACACATACACACGCATGCAGTAGTCATATGAGCGAAATATTCTCAAGCACGACGTTAAACCCAATTTCACCACCACATATCTACGCAGTCACTGAAGAAGAAGAGAAAGCCTAAACTGGTGTGGGTCCTCAACTAATTCTTAGGCGGAACATTCCATAAACATTCCATAAACATTCCTGAGACAAGTAAAAACCTATAAACCGCTCGGTTTCTTTCCTGGTAAGGTCAATTTTTGTTCGTGTCTCCGACATGATGTCAACAACAGGGATGTCACTCTGTGGGGGATACAGATGTAAGCGAGTTTATTAGTCGAGAGCTTGCAACTTGTAGTAGGAATTAGGACAAATCCCATGTCTTACAACTCAGCTGCAACCCAGATGGCATTCAGAAGTTGGCCCAACGTTGGCAATAGTTTTGTAAACATTGCCAACATTGGGCCAACGTCCGAATGCTATCTGGGAACCAGTTGTATGCGATTTTAAATCGTTACGATTTGGGTGTTCTCACGTTGCAACTGTGTTGCATGCTACAAGTTGTTACTACAAGTTGCACCGTGAGAATGCACCTTTAAACTCAGTGTTGAACTCTGTTTTAAATATTACTAACACAAGGTACCAGAATGTTGCATCACAGTTTCTGCTGAATCATTAGTTGGACTGTTTAACTCAGTGTTGATTGTCTCTGCCGACCAGGTAGCTGGATATGTTGGATCATTATCATTATTATTGGTAACTTACAGCACAATGGGGGGCGGTGGGGTAGCCTAGTGGTTAAAGCGTTGGCTCATCACGCCGCAGACCCGGGTTCGATTCCCCACATGGGCACAATGTGTTAAGCCCATTTCTGGTGTCCCCCGCCGTGATATTGCTGGAATATTGCTAAAAGAGGCGTAAAACTAAACTCAGTCAGTCAGTACAGCATAATGGACTGTTGTTAGAGTTCTTAGAGCTCCCTTAGACACAAGTGTGACTGTAACATGCATCTGCTCCCTAGGTATGCGTACCTGCGGCGAGCTATCCGCCACTACCCGGAGATCAGGGACATGTTGAGTCAAGCCAGTAAGTGTGCCGTGTGCAGCGAGTCCTTCCTCAACACATGGCTGGAGTGTGTCAAGTTCATCAGTGCAAAACAGGTGGGCCAGGAAATACTGCATTGAACATTTAAGGAAGTATAAGAAATAATTTTAAACCAGGCTTATGTTCATATCTTCGATGCTTAATTACACATATTAATCACTCAACAAGTGATTCATGTGAGTTAGTACTTTGGAAATATTGGAAACTAAAAGCAGCACATAATCTGTACAAAACTGTTGCAGTCAAATGTACTGGGGAGCTCATATCACTAAGATATGATTAATGCCATACACAGGTTAGTGACAGTTCTTGATCATCAGTATGTTTTGTGTTTCACAGGATCTGAAAGTTGGGAACTTACATGGCCAGATTCCTATCCGAGCTCTTCTCTGCTCCTACAAATGTTTCAACGCTAAAGGACATGAATTCTATGGAGTTGCCTTTCCCTGATCAGATTTGTGTCAATACTTGATTGGTGAGAATGTTTCCTCCAATGAGAATTACATCACCACTTCCACACTGTGTATGATATCATCAGCTGTGAGTGTACTGAACAATTTGCTAATATGTGCATTAGAAACAGAAGCTAAATAAACCAGTAAGAGAAAAACCTATATTTTAGGAAATTGATAAACCTTACCTTTAAGAAATATGTGTGGTATGTGTATGTTTCAGTGTATGTTTCATTGAAGGTGCAGACATAAACATATCTTGCTGTTATCAGAAGGTAATGAATGAACGCTGCTGAAACACTTGCAAACTTTGATCATACTGATCTGGGGGACACTGGACTTGAATCATACTGATCTGGGGGTCATTGGACTTGAATTATACTGATCTGGGGGACACTGAACCTGAATCATACTGATCTGGGGGACACTGAACCTGAATCATACTGATCTGGGGGACACTGGACTTGAATCATACTGATCTGGGGGACACTGGACTTGAATTATACTGATCTGGGGGACACTGGACTTGAATCATACTGATCTGAGGGTCATTGGACTTGAATCATACTGATCTGGGGGTCACTGGACTTGAATTATACTGATCTGGGGGTCATTGGACTTGAATCATACTGATCCAGGGGATGTTGGATGTGTCTGACACTGATCTGAGTGATTGTGACATTTAATGACTTTGTGTTTTGTGAAACAATTCTTCAATGACATTGATCAGGATGACATTGGGCTTCAACCACCTTCCACCATGTTTCCGCTCACTCATCACATGACCTACAGTGTGCCGAGCCTTTAGTTAATGTCAATGTGAACCATGTTCCACATGTCCTGTGATATTTTGTATTCTTGATGAACATGATACATGATACATATGTCAGTGTTACATGTGATACTCTGTATTCTTGATCTTGATGTATTCTTGATGAACATGATACATGCATGTCAGTGTTACTGTGATACTCTGTATTCTTGATGAACATGATACATGCATGTCAGTGTTACTGTGATACTCTGTATTCTTGATGAACATGATACAACTTGTAACATACTACAGTCTTGATGAACAACTTGTAACATACTACAGCCCACCATACAGGAGGCCACAACTTGTAACATACATGTTGTGTTACAGTTACTACAGTCCACAACTTGTAACATACTACAGCCCACCATACAGGAGGCCACAGGAACATCCTCAACTTGTAACTGTAACATACTACAGCCCACAACTTGTAACATTACCAGCCCACCATACTGTAACAAGCTACTACAGTCCACAACTTGTAACATACTACAGCCCACCATACAGGAGTCCACAACTTGTAACATACTACAGCCCACAACTTGTAACATACTACAGCCCACCATACAGGAGGCCACAACTTGTAACATACTACAGTCCACAACTTGTAACATACTACAGCCCACCATACAGGAGTCCACAACTTGTAACATACTACAGTCCACAACTTGTAACATACTACAGCCCACAACAGGTAACATACCACAACTTGTAACATACTACAGTCCACAACTTGTAACATACTACAGCCCACCTGACAGGAGTCCACAACTTGTAACATACTACAGTCCACAACTTGTAACATACTACAGTCCACAACTTGTAACATACTACAGTCCACAACTTGTAACATACTACAGTCCACAACTTGTAACATACTACAGCCCACAAGGAGTCCACAACTTGTAACATACTACAGTCCACAACTTGTAACATACTACAGCCCACATACAGGCCCAACTTGTAACATACTACAGCCCACAACTTGTAACATACTACAGCCCACCATACAGGAATACAACAGTAACATACTACAGCCCACAACTTGTAACATACTACAGCCCACCATACAGGAGTCCACAACTTGTAACATACTACAGTCCACAACTTGTAACATACAGGACAGCCCACATCCACAGGACATACTACAGCCCAACTTGTAACATACTACAGTCCACAACTTGTAACATACTACAGCCCACCATACAGGAGTCCACAACTTGTAACATACTACAGTCCACAACTTGTAACATACTACAGCCCACCATACAGGAGTCCACAACTTGTAACATACTACAGTCCACAACTTGTAACATACTACAGCCCACCATACAGGAGTCCACAACTTGTGAGTGAGTGAGTGAGTGAGTTTAGTTTTACGCCGCACTCAGCAATATCCCAGCTATAGGCGGCGGTCATAACAAACTGGACCAGACAATCCAGTCCACGATCTGCGCATTGTAACATGACATGTGTACCAAGTCAGGCCAAACTGACCACAACTTCACGACAAGCATAGTAGCCTTTTATGGCAAGCACATGGGTTGCTGAAGACCTATTCTATCCCGGATCTTCACGGGTCTCCACAACTTGTAACATACTACAGTCCACAACTTGTAACATACTACAGTCCACAACTTGTAACATACTACAGCCCACCATACAGGAATCCTCAACTTGTAACATACTACAGTCCACAACTTGTAACATACTACAGTCCACAACTTGTAACATACTACAGCCCACCATACATGAGTCCACAACTTGTAACATACTACAGCCCACGTGCAACAATAACCAGTGTTACTAGAGTGAGTGAGTGTTTAGTTTTACGCCGTACTGAGCGGCGGTCTGTAACTAATCGAGTCTGGACAAGACAATCCAGTGATCAATAGCATGAGCATCGATCTGCACAATTGGGAACTGATGACATGTGTCAACCACCGTGTTACTGGAACTGCTGTGATTCAGCAACAGTGACCAATGGTTACTTAGGACTCCTGTATGGTGGGATGTAGTATGGTATGAGAAAAGACTCATATTTCCAATACTTTATTTGTCCTTTTATTTACAAAAGTATACATAAAAAACATAAATATGAGAAAAATTGTGTTGTATGTTGATAAAATACCCTTGTTATAAATAAAAAATTTTTAGAAGACATTAAAATGTAGTTCTTGTTAGTCTTAGAGAGCAGACTGTTTTAGACATTTCATGATGTTAGTATTCATATAAAACCTGTTTCTCATGAGGAAAGTTAGGCATAAATACATTGACAATTTACATAATGACTGACAACACACAAAGAATACTCTACGGTAAGGTGAAGGCTGTTGACCATCAGCTCTGATACAACATACACCTCAGTTGTGGCTTTATTATTATTATTATTATTGTAGGATATTTATATAGCGCACATATCCACGCAACTAGTGCATGCACAAGGCGCTGGTATTTTTCCCTCGATCATTTGATGTCAAAAAAATATCTCAAAGGCACATCATTTATCAATCTCAACTCCCTGGGGAGTATACAACTCTTGCAGCCACTAGGCGCACCAAGTTATTGTGGCTTTCTCATCTTAACGAGGTACCAATTCACAGCTGGGTGGACTGGGACACATAGTCACAGTACTTTGTCCAAGTTCACTGCAAGTTGCTGTACCCACAACTAGGTGTTTGCACTAATTAGTGTGGCCACAATCTGGTCAAATACCAACGGATTCGTGGGTTCTTTTAAGTGCACAGGGTTGTGTACTGTACACTAGGGGTTGTGACAACACTGAAAGAGTCTGCACACAATGTTGACTCCCAAGGTTTTTACACACGGTCACAGGTGGGCTCGATCCCAACACCTCAACCTCGCTGGATCACTAGCCTGGCGCCTTAGCAAGCTCGCCCACCCCGCCCCCGCAAGTTAACTTTGTACAGGGCAATAAATTATTGTAGAAAACACTAAAGACTATAAAAGAGATTATTTGAGTCCCCTCTACCACTGGGAGGTCCGACATCAATCAAACTGATGGTTTCTGATGCTGCTAGGCAGCTGTGTGTTGGCTCAGAAAGATGACAATCCATCCAAATAGTTCCTGAAGCAACTTGCACTTTAGATTACATGATCTGATGGAGTGTTGCTGTCTGGCATTACAACTCATGCCTGTCTCACTCATAGATTATCTGACAGTTGCTACTGATCCTATAGTCCTACCCCACAAAGTCGGACGAGATGCTTGTTCCCTGTACACATCGAGTCCTGTTTACAAGTCTGACAAACCGGGTTCTCTAACACTAGGACAAGACTAATTCATACAACAAATCAATGTACTCGCCTTTCAGGCTAAATTCAACTGAGTTGGGTGTGATCCCGTCACATGTACGAGTATATCAACAAGGAGCAGGTCACACCACAACACAGGGAGCTCAAGTCAGTATCACAGGTTCATGTGGTCTCCAGGATGTCTCTATGTCTTCCTATTATGACAACAAATCCTACCCATACATGCAAACTGTGAGCTGTACACGGACACAAACATACACCACAGCTTTAGGCGTACAAACATACACCAGAGTTGACATGAATACATACATCTGAAGTTAAAAGTACATCAAATATATCAAAGTGTAGAGGTACATTAATACATACATCAAAGTTTAGAGGTACATGAACAAAACATCTGAAGTTAAGAGTACATGAATAACACATCAAAGTTTAGATGTGCATGAATAAGACTTGTTTACATGTACATGAAGAACACATCAAAGTTTAGATGTGCACGAATAATACATGTTTAGATCTACATGAATAACACATCAAAGTTTAGATCTACATGAATGATACATCAAAGTTTAGATGTGCACGAATAATACATGTTTAGATCTACATGACTGACTGAATGACTGAGTTTAGTTTTACGCCGCTTTTAGCAATATTCCAGCAATATCACGGCAGGGGACACCAGAAATGGGCTTAACACATTGTGCCCATGTGGGGAATCGAACCCGGGCCTTCGGCGTGACGAGCCAACGCTCTAAGCACTAGGCTACCCCACTGCCCTAGATCTACATGAATAACACATCAAAGTTTAGATGTGCATGAATGACACATGTTTAGATCTACATGAATAACACATCAAAGTTTATATATACATGAATGACACATCAAAGTTTAGATCTACATGAATGACACATCAAAGTTTAGATGTACATGAAGAGTTTCAGTCTGCCTTGGTCCATCTTGAGGGCGATGTTGTCGATACGGAGAAGCTTCACATTCTGTGAGTTGCCTGTATTGAACACCCGGTAAATCTGATACTGCTCCTTCTGAGCATGTGCAAAGTTGACCTCCCGGGAAGAAATGTCGAAGTGTTTCTTCTCATCCTTCAGAGTACTCTTTACCTCGATGTACACTGATCGGGATTCAGGACTTTCATCATCCAGACAAGTTATTTCAAAGTCATATGGCAATCCTGATTCTTCTGTTTCATTCACCCATCGGACATCCACAATGTCCTTGTTGAGCGTCATCTGTTGGAGAAGATAATTATGGACCAGTGTCTCTCCCCAACGGCCAACGGCAGACATGTCCGTCCGGTCCTCCTCCAAGACAAGGGCGTCGGGCATCTGGAGGTCATCACCAGGCACCAGTTCCTCGTACACCAACTCACTGGCAGACTCACTCCACGTCGGGTCACCAGCTGGCAATACACAATCAGGGGGATTAGACACTGAGGTCACAACACATCACAGAAACTGGACCCAGAACGATGGAGACAGGAAATATCAGGCAAGACAATACAATGGGCACAGAACAATAGATACGAACAGTTGGGAAATAATTCCTTGAAGCTTAGGGTGTGAGGATGAGCCCAACCAAGGCATCTGCTTTTGTTATTGTTTAGCTGAGGACATGAAGAGACAGGACATATTCCCCACACACTCTACTGGGCTTAGCTGAGGACATGAAGAGACAGGACATATTCACCACACACTCTACTGGGCTTAGCTGAGGACATGAAGAGATAGGACATATTCACCACACACTCTACTGGGCTTAGCTGAGGACATGAAGAGATAGGACATATTCACCACACATTCTACTGGGCATATCTAGGCAACTAAAGTAAAAATGGCAGCCAATCCAAATGTCGGGACGAAACTTACGTTTAAAGAAGACAGGTTTCTTTGGGCTTGAGGCCACCTCACTCTCACTGTGCTGGTGTCGGCGTTTACTTCCTGGGGTTGTCTGCTCTTGGTCTGCAGTGGGAGACTCGGAAGGTCTGTCCTTAGAGTCTGCATCGGCCTCTTCTTGGCTCATGTTGTGGGGACTGAGAACAGAACAGACTCATCACTGAAGCATTCACATGATGGCCATAAACAGTTGCATGATGGCCATAAACAGCCTCTGTGTTGAGATATAACAACACACAAACAGTCACATCATGGCCATAATCAGCCTCTGTGTTGAAATATAACAACACACAAACAGTCACATGATGGCCAAAAACAGCCTCTGTGTTGAAATTTAACAACACACAAACAGTCACATGATGGCCAAAAACAGCCTCTGTGTTGAAATATAACAACACACAAACAGTCACATGATGGCCATAAACAGCCTCTGTGTTGAAATATAACAACACACAAACAGTCACATGATGGCCATAAACAGCCTCTGTGTTGAAATATAACAACACACAAACAGTCACATGATGGCCATAAACAGCCTCTGTGTTGAAATATAACAACACACAAACAGTCACATGATGGCCATAAACAGCCTCTGTGTTGAAATATAACAACACACAAACAGTCACATCATGGCCATAAACAGCCTCTGTGTTGAAATATAACAACACACAAACAGTCACATGATGGCCATAAACAGCCTCTGTGTTGAAATATAACAACACACAAACAGTCACATCATGGCCATAAACAGCCTCATGTGTTGAAATATAACAACACACAAACAGTCACATCATGGCCATAAACAGCCTTTGTGTTGAAATATAACAACACACAAACAGTCACATGATGGCCATAAACAGCCTCTGTGTTGAAATATAACAACACACAAACAGTCACATGATGGCCATAAACAGCCTCTGTGTTGAAATATAACAACACACAAACAGTCACATGATGGCCAAAACAGCCTCTGTGTTGAAATATAACAACACACAAACAGTCACATCATGGCCATAAACAGCCTCTGTGTTGAAATATAACAACACACAAACAGTCACATGATGGCCATAAACAGCCTCTGTGTTGAAATATAACAACACACAAACAGTCACACATGGCCATAAACAGCCTCTGTGTTGAAATATCATAAACAGCCTCTGTGTTGAAATATAACAACACACAAACAGTCACATCATGGCCATAAACAGCCTCTGTGTTGAAATATAACAACACACAAACAGTCACATGATGGCCATAAACAGCCTCTGTGTTGAAATATAACAACACACAAACAGTCACATCATGGCCATAAACAGCCTCTGTGTTGAAATATAACAACACACAAACAGTCACATGATGGCCATAAACAGCCTCTGTGTTGAAATATAACAACACACAAACAGTCACATCATGGCCATAAACAGCCTCTGTGTTGAAATATAACAACACACAAACAGTCACATCATGGCCATAAACAGCCTCTGTGTTGAAATATAACAACACACAAACAGTCACATCATGGCCATAAACAGCCTCTGTGTTGAAATATAACAACACACAAACAGTCACATGATGGCCATAAACAGCCTCTGTGTTGAAATATAACAACACACAAACAGTCACATGATGGCCATAAACAGCCTCTGTGTTGAAATATAACAACACACAAACAGTCACATGATGGCCATAAACAGCCTCTGTGTTGAAATATAACAACACACAAACAGTCACATGATGGCCATAAACAGCCTCTGTGTTGAAATATAACAACACACAAACAGTCACATCATGGCCATAAACAGCCTCTGTGTTGAAATATAACAACACACAAACAGTCACATGATGGCCATAAACAGCCTCTGTGTTGAAATATAACAACACACAAACAGTCACACATGATGGCCATAAACAGCCTCTGTGTTGAAATATAACAACACACAAACAGTCACATGATGGCCATAAACAGCCTCTGTGTTGAAATATAACAACACACAAACAGTCACATGATGGCCATAAACAGCCTCTGTGTTGAAATATAACAACACACAAACAGTCACATGATGGCCATAAACAGCCTCTGTGTTGAAATATAACAACACACAAACAGTCACATCATGGCCATAAACAGCCTCTGTGTTGAAATATAACAACACACAAACAGTCACATCATGGCCATAAACAGCCTCTGTGTTGAAATATAACAACACACAAACAGTCACATCATGGCCATAAACAGCCTCTGTGTTGAAATATAACAACACACAAACAGTCACATCATGGCCATAAACAGCCTCTGTGTTGAAATATAACAACACACAAACAGTCACATCATGGCCATAAACAGCCTCTGTGTTGAAATATAACAACACACAAACAGTCACATGATGGCCATAAACAGCCTCTGTGTTGAAATATAACAACACACAAACAGTCACATGATGGCCATAAACAGCCTCTGTGTTGAAATATAACAACACACAAACAGTCACATCATGGCCATAAACAGCCTCTGTGTTGAAATATAACAACACACAAACAGTCACATGATGGCCATAAACAGCCTCTGTGTTGAAATATAACAACACACAAACAGTCACATGATGGCCATAAACAGCCTCTGTGTTGAAATATAACAACACACAAACAGTCACATGATGGCCATAAACAGCCTCTGTGTTGAAATATAACAACACACAAACAGTCACATGATGGCCATAAACAGCCTCTGTGTTGAAATATAACAACACACAAACAGTCACATGATGGCCATAAACAGCCTCTGTGTTGAAATATAACAACACACAAACAGTCACATCATGGCCATAAACAGCCTCTGTGTTGAAATATAACAACACACAAACAGTCACATCATGGCCATAAACAGCCTCTGTGTTGAAATATAACAACACACAAACAGTCACATGATGGCCATAAACAGCCTCTGTGTTGAAATATAACAACACACAAACAGTCACATGATGGCCATAAACAGCCTCTGTGTTGAAATATAACAACACACAAACAGTCACATCATGGCCATAAACAGCCTCTGTGTTGAAATATAACAACACACAAACAGTCACATGATGGCCATAAACAGCCTCTGTGTTGAAATATAACAACACACAAACAGTCACATCATGGCCATAAACAGCCTCTGTGTTGAAATATAACAACACACAAACAGTCACATCATGGCCATAAACAGCCTCTGTGTTGAAATATAACAACACACAAACAGTCACATGATGGCCATAAACAGCCTCTGTGTTGAAATATAACAACACACAAACAGTCACATGATGGCCATAAACAGCCTCTGTGTTGAAATATAACAACACACAAACAGTCACATGATGGCCATAAACAGCCTCTGTGTTGAAATATAACAACACACAAACAGTCACATCATGGCCATAAACAGCCTCTGTGTTGAAATATAACAACACACAAACAGTCACATGATGGCCATAAAACAGCCTCTGTGTTGAAATATAACAACACACAAACAGTCACATCATGGCCATAAACAGCCTCTGTGTTGAAATATAACAACACACAAACAGTCACATCATGGCCATAAACAGCCTCTGTGTTGAAATATAACAACACACAAACAGTCACATGATGGCCATAAACAGCCTCTGTGTTGAAATATAACAACACACAAACAGTCACATGATGGCCATAAACAGCCTCTGTGTTGAAATATAACAACACACAAACAGTCACATCATGGCCATAAACAGCCTCTGTGTTGAAATATAACAACACACAAACAGTCACATGATGGCCATAAACAGCCTCTGTGTTGAAATATAACAACACACAAACAGTCACATCATGGCCATAAACAGCCTCTGTGTTGAAATATAACAACACACAAACAGTCACATGATGGCCATAAACAGCCTCTGTGTTGAAATATAACAACACACAAACAGTCACATGATGGCCATAAACAGCCTCTGTGTTGAAATATAACAACACACAAACAGTCACATGATGGCCATAAACAGCCTCTGTGTTGAAATATAACAACACACAAACAGTCACATGATGGCCATAAACAGCCTCTGTGTTGAAATATAACAACACACAAACAGTCACATCATGGCCATAAACAGCCTCTGTGTTGAAATATAACAACACACAAACAGTCACATGATGGCCATAAACAGCCTCTGTGTTGAAATATAACAACACACAAACAGTCACATCATGGCCATAAACAGCCTCTGTGTTGAAATATAACAACACACAAACAGTCACATGATGGCCATAAACAGCCTCTGTGTTGAAATATAACAACACACAAACAGTCACATCATGGCCATAAACAGCCTCTGTGTTGAAATATAACAACACACAAACAGTCACATCATGGCCATAAACAGCCTCTGTGTTGAAATATAACAACAACAAACAGTCACATGACAAACAGCCTCTGTGTTGAAATATAACAACACACAAACAGTCACATCATGGCCATAAACAGCCTCTGTGTTGAAATATAACAACACACAAACAGTCACATGATGGCCATAAACAGCCTCTGTGTTGAAATATAACAACACACAAACAGTCACATGATGGCCATAAACAGCCTCTGTGTTGAAATATAACAACACACAAACAGTCACATCATGGCCATAAACAGCCTCTGTGTTGAAATATAACAACACACAAACAGTCACATGATGGCCATAAACAGCCTCTGTGTTGAAATATAACAACACACAAACAGTCACATGATGGCCATAAACAGCCTCTGTGTTGAAATATAACAACACACAAACAGTCACATGATGGCCATAAACAGCCTCTGTGTTGAAATATAACAACACACAAACAGTCACATGATGGCCATAAACAGCCTCTGTGTTGAAATATAACAACACACAAACAGTCACATGATGGCCATAAACAGCCTCTGTGTTGAAATATAACAACACACAAACAGTCACATCATGGCCATAAACAGCCTCTGTGTTGAAATATAACAACACACAAACAGTCACATGATGGCCATAAACAGCCTCTGTGTTGAAATATAACAACACACAAACAGTCACATGATGGCCATAAACAGCCTCTGTGTTGAAATATAACAACACACAAACAGTCACATGATGGCCATAAACAGCCTCTGTGTTGAAATATAACAACACACAAACAGTCACATCATGGCCATAAACAGCCTCTGTGTTGAAATATAACAACACACAAACAGTCACATGATGGCCATAAACAGCCTCTGTGTTGAAATATAACAACACACAAACAGTCACATGATGGCCATAAACAGCCTCTGTGTTGAAATATAACAACACACAAACAGTCACATGATGGCCATAAACAGCCTCTGTGTTGAAATATAACAACACACAAACAGTCACATCATGGCCATAAACAGCCTCTGTGTTGAAATATAACAACACACAAACAGTCACATGATGGCCATAAACAGCCTCTGTGTTGAAATATAACAACACACAAACAGTCACATGATGGCCATAAACAGCCTCTGTGTTGAAATATAACAACACACACAGTCACATGATGGCCATAAACAGCCTCTGTGTTGAAATATAACAACACACAAACAGTCACATGATGGCCATAAACAGCCTCTGTGTTGAAATATAACAACACACAAACAGTCACATGATGAAATATAACAACACACAAACAGCCATAAACAGCCTCTGTGTTGAAATATAACAACACACAAACAGTCACATCATGGCCATAAACAGCCTCTGTGTTGAAATATAACAACACACAAACAGTCACATGGATAAACAGGCCATACAACAGTCACATGATCTGTGTTGAAATATAACAACACACAAACAGTCACATGATGGCCATAAACAGCCTCTGTGTTGAAATATAACAACACACAAACAGTCACATGATGGCCATAAACAGCCTCTGTGTTGAAATATAACAACACACAAACAGTCACATGATGGCCATAAACAGCCTCTGTGTTGAAATATAACAACACACAAACAGTCACATGATGGCCATAAACAGCCTCTGTGTTGAAATATAACAACACAACAGTCATGGCCATAAACAGCCTCTGTGTTGAAATATAACAACACACAAACAGTCACATCATGGCCATAAACAGCCTCTGTGTTGAAATATAACAACACACAAACAGTCACATGATGGCCATAAACAGCCTCTGTGTTGAAATATAACAACACACAGTCACATGATGGCCATAAACAGCCTCTGTGTTGAAATATAACAACACACAAACAGTCACATCATGGCCATAAACAGCCTCTGTGTTGAAATATAACAACACACAAACAGTCACATGATGGCCATAAACAGCCTCTGTGTTGAAATATAACAACACACAAACAGTCACATCATGGCCATAAACAGCCTCTGTGTTGAAATATAACAACACACAAACAGTCACATCATGGCCATAAACAGCCTCTGTGTTGAAATATAACAACACACAAACAGTCACATGATGGCCATAAACAGCCTCTGTGTTGAAATATAACAACACACAAACAGTCACATGATGGCCATAAACAGCCTCTGTGTTGAAATATAACAACACACAAACAGTCACATCATGGCCATAAACAGCCTCTGTGTTGAAATATAACAACACACAAACAGTCACATGATGGCCATAAACAGCCTCTGTGTTGAAATATAACAACACACAAACAGTCACATGATGGCCATAAAAGCCTCTGTGTTGAAATATAACAACACACAAACAGTCACATCATGGCCATAAACAGCCTCTGTGTTGAAATATAACAACACACAAACAGTCACATGATGGCCATAAACAGCCTCTGTGTTGAAATATAACAACACACAAACAGTCACATCATGGCCATAAACAGCCTCTGTGTTGAAATATAACAACACACAAACAGTCACATGATGGCCATAAACAGCCTTTGTGTTGAAATATAACAACACACAAACAGTCACATGATGGCCATAAACAGCCTCTGTGTTGAAATATAACAACACACAAACAGTCACATGATGGCCATAAACAGCCTCTGTGTTGAAATATAACAACACACAAACAGTCACATCATGGCCATAAACAGCCTCTGTGTTGAAATATAACAACACACAGTCACATCATGGCCATAAACAGCCTCTGTGTTGAAATATAACAACACACAAACAGTCACATGATGGCCATAAACAGCCTTTGTGTTGAAATATAACAACACACAAACAGTCACATGATGGCCATAAACAGCCTCTGTGTTGAAATATAACAACACACAAACAGTCACATGATGGCCATAAACAGCCTCTGTGTTGAAATATAACAACACACAAACAGTCACATGATGGCCATAAACAGCCTCTGTGTTGAAATATAACAACACACAAACAGTCACATGATGGCCATAAACAGCCTTTGTGTTGAAATATAACAACACACAAACAGTCACATGATGGCCATAAACAGCCTCCGTGTTGAAATATAACAACACACAAACAGTCACATGATGGCCATAAACAGCCTCTGTGTTGAAATATAACAACACACAAACAGTCACATGATGGCCATAAACAGCCTCTGTGTTGAAATATAACAACACACAAACAGTCACATGATGGCCATAAACAGCCTTTGTGTTGAAATATAACAACACACAAACAGTCACATGATGGCCATAAACAGCCTCTGTGTTGAAATATAACAACACACAAACAGTCACATGATGGCCATAAACAGCCTCTGTGTTGAAATATAACAACACACAAACAGTCACATGATGGCCATAAACAGCCTCTGTGTTGAAATATAACAACACACAAACAGTCACATCATGGCCATAAACAGCCTCTGTGTTGAAATATAACAACACACAAACAAAACCATAACCCAGTTAGATGATTATTTAAATAACTGATTCACGCATTCTGTATTTGCTACCATGGAAACCCCAATACATTCCTCACCTTGTAGCCCCGACTGGAGATGGTCTCTTGGCTTCCATGGAGACCTCGTGATCTGACAGTTTACGTTTCACCGACCCTGCTGCAAACAAATCATCTCATGTTAACCCTCGTGTCAAACGTTGTTAACCCCTAAACCCCTAAACCCTAACTTCACCCTCACATAATACAGTATCATGTTACATAATGCAACCCGTCATGTCATGTCATGTCAACTCATGTCATATTATGTCAACCCTCATGTCAAATCATGTCAACTCTCATGTCATATCATGTCAACTATCATGCCATATCATGTCAACTCTCATGTCACATCATGTCAACTCTCATGTCAAATCATGTCAACTCTCATGCCATATCATGTCAACTCTCATGTCAAATCGTGTCAACTCTCATGTCATGTCATGTCAACCCTCATGTCATAAAATGTCAACTCTCATGTCATATCATGTCAACTCTCATGTCATATCATGTCAACTCTCATGTCGTAATCATGTCAATTATGTCAACTCTCATGTCATATCATGTCAACTCTCATGTCATGTCAAAATGTCAACTCTCATGTCATATCATGTCAACTCTCATGTCATGTCATGTCAACCATCATCTCACATCATGTCAACTCTCATGTCATATCATGTCAACTCTCATGTCATATCATGTCAACCCTCATGTCACATCATGTCAACTATCATGTCATAAAATGTCAACTCTCATGTCATATCATGTCAACTCTCATGTCATATCATGTCAACTCTCATGTCATAAAATGTCAACTCTCATGTCATGTCAACCATCATGTCACATCATGTCATATCATGTCAACTCTCATGTCATATCATGTCAACTCTCATGTCAAATCATGTCAACTCTCATGTCATATCATGTCAACTCTCATGTCATATCATGTCAACCCTCATGTCAAATTGTGTCAACTCTCATGTCATAATATGTCAACTCTCATGTCATAATATGTCAACTCTCATGTCATATCATGTCATATCATGTCAACCCTCATGTCAAATTGTGTCAACTCTCATGTCATAATATGTCAACTCTCATGTCATAATATGTCAACTCTCATGTCATATCATGTCACTTCTCATGTCATATCATGTCAACTCTCATGTCATGTCATATCATGTCAACTCTCATGTCATATCATGTCAACTATCATGTCATATTATGGCAACTCTCATGTCATAATATGTCAACTCTCATTTCATAATATGTCAACTCTCATGTCATAAAATGTCAACTCTCATGTCATAAAATGTCAACCATCATGTCACATCATGTCAACTCTCATGTCATAAAATGTCAACTCTCATGTCATATCATGTCAACCATCATGTCATAAAATGTCAACCTTCATGTCATATCATGTCAACTCTCATGTCATATCATGTCAACTCTCATGTCATATTATGGCAACTCTCATGTCATAATATGTCAACTCTCATGTCATAATATGTCAACCCTCATGTCACTGACAGTAAACCCTCGTGTAACACAATATTAAACTCTCATGTGACACAATGTTTAACTCTCATGTAACACAATGTTTATGAAACACAATGTTTAACTCTCACGTAACACAATGTTAAACTCTCATGTGACACAATGTTAAACTCTCATGTCATGAGCTATTCACTTTCATATCATACTTGTTGCCCATATATCTGACACAGCTATTCCCAAGTACTACCATATACTGTCATACCTTAATACCATATACTGTCATACCTTAATACCATATATACTGTCATACCTTAATACCATATACTGTCATACCTTAATACCATATACTGTCATACCTTAATACCATATACTGTCATACCTTAATACCACATACTGTCATATACAGTAAATTCTCACACAGTAACACTTGTACACTTGTGTAACCAACAACCCTCAAGTGACGCAGTGTCAACCCTCAGGTGATGCAGTGTCAACCCTCAGGTGACGCAGTGTCAACCCTCAGGTCAACCCTAATGTGACACAGTGTCAACCCTCATGTGTTAATCCTCATCCAATACTGTTACCCCTGTGTAACAGACTGTTAACTGTCATGCATTTAACACACTTATGTAACATCTTGTTAACCTCATATAACACATTGTTAACTGTCACGTAACACTGTTATCCTTGTGTAAAATCTGTTAACATCATGATGAGTAATTGTAACATGCCATCAAAACAGAGCAGCTGGTGAAACATGCTTGTCAGTGAGGGAATTACATAAGCTGAGATAGCAGTCGAGGTGGCAAAGTTCAGTGCTGACAGCAGTAAACTGGTGGAGCTTGCCTACTTCTGCATGACAAGCCATAAACAAACACTTGGGTGCACAGACAGTACAGTAAACAGGAAATAATGCTATCTGCACACATGTAAATGGAGATTCTGCAGTGTATAGTTCATGGAACGTGAACATGATCTGAGAGCACAAGAACAATTACATAAACTTTCAGGTAGACTCTGAAACAGCTTCATGCACTTCTGGGGAGGATATTAGAAGAGCTACACAGGTTTCTGAGGATGGCATTCCCACAGCTGCATGTACTTCTGGGGAGGAAATTGGAACAGCTCCATACACTGCTGGGGAGGACATTGGAAGAGCTAAATATACTTATAGCAAAAACTTCGGAACAGCTACAAACACTTTATGGTAAGACATTGGTAGTGCTACATAAACCTTTTGGGAGAACACTGGAACAGCTACGTACAATAAGGAAGAACAGGGGCACACCTAGATAAATGTGTAGGGAGGACATTGGAAGAGCCACATAAATATTCAGGTAGACACTGGAACACATGCAAAAAATATTCAGGGAGAACAGTGGAACCCAAAACACCATTCAGAGAACAATGGAATCGCTACTAGAAGTTCCATGACAACACTGGTGATTGTGCAGTATAGTGCTGGATATAAACAGATTGTAATTGGTTTAGTTTGAAGAATCACAATGAACACATGCGGGTGCTAGTACTGGTCACAATCAGATGCACATCTGCCAACTCACATTTTGAATAATTCACAGCCAGATATTCTTAGGGTTAGATTCAATTCCTTCATGTATTTGTTGCCTACACCAACTTTGACTCGCAAATGTCAACCTATGGACTTGACATGATGTACATGGAAGGGTGTGACTGACTCTGTGAGTGGGCTGGTGTGTATCTCTGTGAGTGGGCTGGTGTGTATCTCTGTGAGTGTATCTCTGTGAGTGGGCTGGTGTGTATCTCTGTGAGTGGGCTGGTGTGTATCTCTGTGAGTGGGCTGGTGTGTATCTAGGGAACAAACAAACGTTGACTCTGTGAGTGGGCTGGTGTGTATCTAGGGAACAAACAAACGTTGACTCTGTGAGTGGGCTGGTGTGTATCTAGGGAACAAACAAACGTTGACTCTGTGAGTGGGCTGGTGTGTATCTAGGGAACAAACAAACGTTGAGGAGAAAGCAGAAGCTACACCTACATGAAGTAACCACATGAATACCTCCATCCTCGCGACTTATCTCCCTTCTAACACTCTCTCCACCTGTCTGTCCTTCTCGGACATCTCGTTTAGCACTGGTTCCCCCTCCTTCCTTTATTAGGATTGTCTCCCCTGTCTTCAGCTTAGTGGTCTGCCCATCTTCGCCTCTATTGCTTGATGTCTCTGACTGCGAAGCATCAGATTGACGAATGACCTTGATGTTGGACGGAAGGTCACGAACCTGCTGATGATATTCTGGAGGCCTGGGAGGAGGCCACATTTTACCATCACTTGGTCGCTCAACAGCTTCTGAAATAAATAACACAACAATGACACAACTCAACAAGTATGTCTCACACAACAACCTGTGTGTTCTTCTCTGACATTGAACTTCTCATCCAACAGGATGTAACTAATACATAATTATCTCACTTGCAGCATCATATATACAGTTGTGTGGACTGCACCAACTAATACACAAATGTGTGGACTGCGCCAACTAATACACAAATGTGTGGACTGCACCAACTAATACACAAATGTGTGGACTGCTACAACTAATACACAAATGTATGAACTGCACCAACTAATGCACAAATGTGTGGACTGCACAAACTAATACACAAATGTGTGGACTGCACCAACTAATGCACAAAACTGTGAGCTGCAGCAACTAAAACACAAATGTGTGAACTGTACCACCTTATACACAAATGTGTGGATTGCACCACCTAATACACAAATGTGTGAACTGCACCAGCTAATACACAAATTTGTGGACTGCACCACCTGATACACAAATGCATAAACTGCACCAACTAATACAAATGTGTGAAACTGCACCAACTAATACACAAATGTGTGAACTGCACCAACTAATACACAAATGTGTGAACTGCACCAACTAATACACAAATGTGTGGACTGCTACAACTAATACACAAATGTGTGAACTGCACCAACTAATACACAAATGTATGAACTGCACCAACTAATGCACAAATGTGTGGACTGCACAAACTAATACACAAATGTGTGAACTGCACCAACTAATACACAAATGTGTGAACTGCACCACCTAATACACAAATGTATAAACTGCACCAACTAATACACAAATGTGTGGACTGCACCAACTAATACACAAATGTGTGATCTGCACCAACTAATACACAAATGTGTGAACTGTTCCACCAAATACACAAATGTATGAACTGCACCAACTAATACACAAATGTGTGGACTGCACCAACTAATACACAAATGTGTGGACTGCTACAACTAATACACAAATGTGTGAACTGCACCACCTAATACACAAATGTATGAACTGCACCAACTAATACACAAATGTGTGAACTGCACCACCTTATACACAAATGCATAAACTGCACCAACACCAACTAATAATACACAATGTGTGAACTGCACCATACCTTATACACAAATGCATAATAACTGCACTTGGTCCAACTAATGCTGTATTACAAATGTGTATCTGATACAAATATGTTTGACTTGCTCCATCTGACACCAAATATGTTTGACTTGCTTCATCTGATACAAATATGTTTGAATCTTCCATCTGATACAAATATGTTTGACTTGGAATTTGACTTGCTCCATCTGATAGAAATATGTTTGGCTCCATCTGATCTGCTCCATCTGATACAAATATGTTTGACTTGCTGTAATGATACAAACATTGCTCTATCTGATACATGTTTGACTTGCTCCATCTGATACAAATATGTTTGACTTGCTCCATCTGATACAAATATGTTTGACTTGCTCCATCTGATACAAATATGTTTGAATTTGCTATCTGATACAAATATGTTTGACTTGCTCCATCTGATACAAATATGTTTGACTTGCTCCATCTGATGCTCCATCTGATACAAATATATGTTTGACTTTGCTCCATCTGATACAAATATGTTTGACTTGCTCCATCTGATACAAATGCTCCATCTGATACAAATGTTTGATTGCTCCATCTGATACAAATATGTTTGACTTGCTCCATCTGATACAAATATGTTTGACTTGCTCCATCTGATACAAATATGTTTGACTTGCTCCATCTGATCCACAAATATGTTTGACTTGCTCCATCTGATACAAATATGTTTGACTTGCTCCATCTGATACAAATATGTTTGACTTGCTCCATCTGATACAAATATGTTTGACTTGCTCCATCTGATACAAATATGTTTGACTTGCTCCATCTGATACAAATATGTTTGACTTGCTCCATCTGATACAAATATGTTTGACTTGCTCCATCTGATACAAATATCCATTTGACAAATATGTTTGACTTGCTCCATCTGATACAAATATGTTTGACTTGCTCCATCTGATACAAATATGTTTGAATTGCTCCATCTGATACAAATATGTTTGACTTGCTCCATCTGATACAAATATGTTTGACTTGCTCCATCTGATACAAATATGTTTGAATTGCTCCATCTGATACAAATATGTTTGAATTGCTCCATCTGATACAAATATGTTTGACTTGCTCCATCTGATACAAATATGTTTGACTTGCTCCATCTGATACAAATATGTTTGTGTCTTACAAATATGTTTCTTCCTCTGATACTGCATCTGGATACAAATATTTGAATTGCTCCATCTGATCAAACATTGTGTCTTCGAACTTGCCTGCTATCGGAAGATTGAAGATTGTGGGGGCCATGACCGGATAGCATCTCCCTCACTGGCTTCACTTTGGACGTTGGTGGACACTGCAGTAATACACATATTGTCAACATATCTATTAAATCTGAAAACAGTTTGGTACATCTTAGTGACGCAAGTATTATCTGAGAGAATCAGAGTTACCTACCCTGTCTACTGGGTGGACTAGAGAATCAGAGTTACCTACCCTGTCTACTGGGTGGACTAGTGAATCAGAGTTACCTACCCTGACTTCTGGGTGGACTAGTGAATCAGAGTTACCTACCCTGACTACTGGGTGGACTAGTGAATCAGAGTTACCTACCCTGTCTACTGGGTGGACTAGTGAATCAAGTTACCTACCCTGTCTACTGGGTGGAGTAGTGAATCAGAGTTACCTACTCTGTCTACTGGGTGGAATAGAGAATCAGAGCAACCTACCCTGTCTACTGGGTGGACTAGAGAATCAGAGTTACCTACCCTGTCTACTGGGTGGACTAGAGAATCAGAGTTACCTACCCTGTCTACTAGGTGGAGTAGTGAATCAGAGTTACCTACCCTGTCTACTGGGCAGTCGAGTGAATCAAGTTACCTACCCTGTCTACTGGGTGGTCTAGTGAATCAAGTTACCTACCCTGTCTACTGGGTGGACTAGTGAATCAAGTTACCTACCCTGTCTACTGGGTGGACTAGTGAATCAGAGTTACCTACCCTGTCTACTGGGTGGACTAGTGAATCAAGTTACCTACCCTGTCTACTGGGTGGACTACAGAATCAGAGTTACCTACCCTGTCTACTGGATGGACTAGAGAATCAGAGTGACCTACCCTGTCTACTGGGTGGACTAGTGAATCAAGTTACCTACCCTGTCTACTGGGTGGACTACAGAATCAGAGTTACCTACCCTGTCTACTGGGTGGACTAGAGAATCAGAGTGACCTACCCTGTCTACTGGGTGGACTAGTGAATCAAGTTTACCCCCTGTCTACCTACAGTCTACCCTGTCTACTTGGTGGACTACAGAATCAGAGTTACCTACCCTGTCTACTGGGTGGACTACAGAATCAGAGTTACCTACCCTGTCTACTGGGTGGACTACAGAATCAGAGTTACCTACCCTGTCTACTGGGTGGACTAGAGAATCAGAGTGACCTACCCTGTCTACTGGGTGGACTAGTGAATCAAGTTACCTACCCTGTCTACTTGGTGGACTACAGAATCAGAGTTACCTACCCTGTCTACTGGGTGGACTACAGAATCAGAGTTACCTACCCTGTCTACTGGGTGGACTAGAGAATCAGAGTTACCTACCCTGTCTACTGGGTGGACTAGTGAATCAGAGTTACCTACCCTGTCTACTGGGTGGACTAGAGAATCAGAGTTACCTACCCTGTCTACTGGGTGGACTAGAGAATCAAGTTACCTACCCTGTCTACTGGGTGGAGTATTGAATAAGAGCAACCTACTCTGTCTACTGGGTGGACTAGAGAATCAGAGCAACTTACCCTGTCAACTGGGTGGAGTAGTGAATCAGAGTTACCTACCCTGTCTACTGGGCAGTCGAGTGAATCAAGTTACCTACCCTGTCTACTGGGCAGTCGAGTGAATCAAGTTACCTACCCTGTCTACTGGGTGGTCGGATTGGGTCTGGAATGATAGGTGGTGTCACCTCCCACACCGCCTCGTCTTCTGGCAGAGGGTCCACCTCATACTGTTCCAGCACTTCCTTGATGCCTTCAGGATGATCCAGGACAGGCCTCAGATCTCGGAGAATGTCCCTGCAACATTTGGGTTGCAATCTGTGTATTTTCTCAAGGCAGGGGTCACAAGAAATCAAACAACAGTTACTGTTCATAGTTTTAAGTATTCCACTCTAGCCATAAATTAGAAATAAAAAACTGTCTCTTCTTTCATCCAATAAGTCTCATGCACTATATCCAGATAGTTGTGGCAGCCTGACATACCCGAGGAAGTATTATTACAATTGTACACACTGATAGCTGATGTCATCACAGCACAGCAAGCATGTAACACGTCACACCTGGCATCCAGCAGCCCTTCAGAGTGGGCATGTAGGACATGGATTATACAGCTACACGTATATGGCTGAATCAGAAGTATAGAGGATCTCTTCTAGATCCTTAGCTTTGTCCCTTTAAGATGTTACTATCCATTTCGACTAAGTAACGCAAGAATTCTTGTTGGAAGGCAATTCCGCATCAGCAGATAAGGGCTTCATTCAATTTTGATGGGCTAAAAATAATAAACCCTGGAACTATCACAAGCTTTCTTTGTACTCCTGGGGTTTAAAACACCATCTGGACCACTGCAATAAGTGGGAAATGATGATGATACCAGTAGAACATCCAAACATTTCACAGTAAGATTACATTCAAAACATGGCCATGTTGTTCAAAAGGTATTTAAGGATTTACTGGCTTCACCTACACCCATGTGCGGAACAAGTCCACGGCAGACAGGAAGACACTTCATGCTCTAAACACAAGCAGAATTTCTGAGTCAACATCTTTGTCGAGCACTGGTGACAACATTGCTCCTACCTCAAGTACTTGAGACACTCTTCGTCTCCACAGGAGAAGTACTTGGCAATCTCACGATTGACATCTGCGTGTGAGTCAACCTGACTGGTCTGGAAGAAGAACTGGTTCCCGGTCTGGATACACCTCTCGGGGCGGATCACACGTGGTTCAGGGTTATTGGTCAATGTGTAGATCACCTGCAGCTTGCTCACCTGTTGCCATGGTAACATGCTTACTTAAACAACAAAAACACTGTGACACAGGAGAATGAAAGGTGTTCAGTGGCGTAGTCAGCAATATTCCAGCAACACCACAGCAGTCTGTACACATCCATGATACTGAAGTCTGGACCAGACAAACCAGTGACTCACCACAGCAGTCTGTACACATCCATGATACTGAAGTCTGGACCAGACAAACCAGTGACTCACAGACATGATGGGTAATCAGTCACGATGTGTCTGACCAGACATTAGTGTGAAGATGTCTGATTACACCCAGGAGGACATTCACGGCCTACAATCTACAGCCTACTGATCAGGTGGGTATCTTTACTAAGTAGAAGAGTCCATGTGTAGGATTTCATCTGAATACAGTCATATAGGACTTCAATGATTCACAATGATTCGAAGCCTGCACTGTTCTCACAAGTTACCACCTTTGGTTGATTGTGTGTTGTTCATAAACTGGTTTGTTAGCAATATTCCAGCTATGTGGCGGTGGTCTGTAAACATGTGAGTCTGGACCAGACACGCCAGTGGCCAACACCATGAGCGTGGATCTACACAACTGGGATACGATGACATTTGTCAACCAAGTCAGCGAGTCTGACCATCCGATCCCGTTATTCGTCTCATACAACAAGCATGGTCTGCCAAAAACAAATTTTAACCGAGATCTTCATGGGTAGACAAGACAGACACACATGACTACAACAAATTATAATAAACTCAGCTATATGACAGCTGCCGATAAACATCAAGCCTGGACAAGAAATCCCAAGGATTGATATTATGAGCAAATATCTATATGTTGAGGTCAACGTACCTGGTTGAAGCTGATAATCTTGAGCTTGCTGACAACATCTCTCTGTTCCACTAGGTCCTTGTAGACGTCCTCTTGGTAGTAGTACAGGTAAGCCTGTATGTGGGGCACCACCTGGTGGGCGTACCACTGCAGCTGCGGACACTGCGCCATCATCTCCGTGATCTCCTCCGCGTGCACACATGAACTCAACGTCGCTATCTTGAACAGTCCCACAAATGCTGAGATGGCATCAGGGTCATGTTTTGGCTGATCTGAAGAAGATGGAAACAAAAGGATGCATCCCTTCCTCAATGAACACAGTGAACACTAAACTACGAGACTAGACAATATGACGCTTCTGTAGTACTGGCCAAGACAGCTACCAGCATTCTGTAAACTGTCAACTGACCATCCAAAGGTCCACAAGCAGGAATTACAGATCTTAACATTTCACACAGACAGGTATCTTGTCATCTTGATATCATAAACTTGTTTCACATGTCAATAGAACACTATTTTGTATTTCAAAAGCTGAATTTTGGCTCAGTGGACAAATTAGCCTGCAGACAACCACCTGACCCCAGCAGCTCCGTCCAGCAACTCACCTCTGCCATACTTAATCTTCATCTTCCTACTGCCAGGGTTCCGCGGTTCCTCCAGCTTCAGAAAATGGACATTCTTCTCCTCAGCAAACATCTTCTCTAGTTCTTGACTGTCAGCTATCATTGGGTTATCATCTACACTCACCCAAATATCCTTCTTGGTAGGAAATATCTTCTGTTTTTTCAGTTTCTTAATCGCCCCTTCAACCTCTTGCTTCACGAGCGGTAGTTCCCCTGACGATGCTTGTTCATGCTTGACTCTGAATGCCTTTTTTCCTATGAAGGCAAATATGGTCAAAGTGTCTGAGAACACAACCCTGTTACTTGGTGAATTCACAGTTGCCATAAGAAGGAGGAGGTCCGCAAAGTCCTTCAGACATGGACCCACCTCAATTCTGGCACCCCTCATAAACTGATCTTCTAAATCTGCGTAGAGATGGCATATAAAGTACCTTTTGGCAAGATCTGAGTGATAGTCAACCAACAGGTCATGGTATCTGTGGAAGAGACCAGATCGATCTGTCCACCAGACTTCAGCACGGTTCAGCATCATTCCCTCAAGGAAGTTCTGATCATTGCCATCCTGATCCCTGGCCTCCGGCACGAAGATCACAGGGTTGTCGTGATACAGATCCTGATGGTCCTTGCCACCAAGGTTGTCACCAAGATAGCGGTAGACAGCTTTCAGGTGAGCCAGACACGACCGGAACTTCCTTGGACTGTCAGAACCTTCGTCTCGCTTGCCCCACTCAATTAGCATGTCCTTGACCGTGGAGATTTCTACAGTGTTCTTGATACGCAGGTACTTGGTGAAGGAGCTCTGTGGGCTGGCTGTGACTGCCAGGTAGTACACAGTGTGGCCAAGGATCTGCTGCAGCTTGGGAGCCCGCACATAGAGCAGGGACGGCTGCATGAGGACCACCTGCTCCTGCATCCGCAGCCCAGACCCTGGGATCTGTTCCAAGGACAGCTGTAATCCCGGAATCCAGTTCAGAGTCGTCAAGTTCATGCAGAAAGAGGACTCTGCCTCTCGCAGAACTTGACCATTACCATCTTTCACCTGAACATTCTGGTACTTGGAGTATTTGGCATTCCAGTCTCTGTCAAGGATTTCAAACAATGTCTTCATCTGTTCCTTGTGGAGATCCGGGCACTTGTTGTCGGTGACCAAATCAGTAAATTCCTGACATGAGAAGTCTGCAATGTAGTACCCGGTGCTGGATTCAGGCCACATGTCTCGGAGAGGAGCCCAAGCTGTGTCCATCTGAAACATAATCAACACATTCATACCAACCTCACCCCAAAAATGACCATAACACATACAAACCTCACCCCAAACATGACCATAACACATACAAACCTCACCCCCAAACATGACCATAACACATACAAACCTCATCCCCAAACATGACCATAACACATACAAACCTCATCCCCAAACATGACCATAACACATACAAACCCACACCCCAAACATGACCATAACACATACAAACCTCACCCCCAAACATGACCATAACACATACAAACCTCACCCCCAAACATGACCATAACACATACAAACCTCACCCCCAAACATGACCATAACACATACAAACCTCACCCCCAAACATGACCATAACACATATAACCTCACCCCAAACATGACCATAACACATACAAACCTCACCCCCAAACATGACCATAACACATACAAACCTCACCCCCAAACATGACCATAACACAAACAAACCTCACCCCCAAACATGACCATAACACATACTAACCTCACCCCCAAACATGACCATAACACAAACAAACCTCACCCCCAAACATGACCATAACACAAACAAACCTCACCCCAAACATGACCATAACACATACAAACCTCACCCCCAAACAATACTCATACAACCAGGTACAACAATACTCATACAACCAGGTACAATAATCATCATACAACCAGGTACAACAATATTCATACAACCAGGTACAACAATACTCATACAACCAGGTACAACAATACTCATACAACCAGGTACAATAATACTCATACAACCAGGTACAATAATACTCACACAACCAGGTACAACAATACTCATACAACCAGGTACAACAATACTCATACAACCAGGTACAACAATACTCATACAACCAGGTACAACAATACTCATACAACCAGGTACATACACAACAATACTCATACAACCAGGTACAATAATACTCATACAACCAGGTACAATAATACTCATACAACCAGGTACAATAATACTTACACAACCAGGTACAACAATACTCATACAACCAGGTACAACAATCCTCATACAACCAGGTACAACAATACTCATACAACCAGGTACAACAATACTCATACAACCAGGTACAAGGTACAACAATACTCATACAACCAGGTACAACAATCCTCATACAACCAGGTACAATAATACTCATACAACCAGGTACAACAATACTCATACAACCAGGTACAATAATACTCATACAACCAGGTACAATAATACTCATACAACCAGGTACAACAATACTCATACAACCAGGTACAACAATACTCATACAACCAGGTACAATAATACTCAAACAACCAGGTACAACAATACTCAAAACAACCAGGTACAACAATACTCATACAACCAGGTACAACAATACTCATACAACCAGGTACAACAATACTCAAACAACCAGGTACAACAATACTCATACAACCAGGTACAACAATACTCATACAACCAGGTACAACAATACTCAGACAACAATACTCATACTCATACAACCAGATACAACAATACTCATACTCATACAACCAGGTACAACAATACTCATACAACCAGGTACAACAATGCTCATACAACCAGGTACAACAATACTCAAACAACCAGGTACAACAATACTCAAACAACCAGGTACAACAATACTCAAACAACCAGGCACAACAATACTCATACTCATACAACAAGGTACAACAATACTCATACAACCAGGTACAGCAATCCTCAAACAACCAGGTACAACATACTCAAACAACCAGGTACAACAATACTCATACAACCAGGTACAACAATACTCATACTCATACAACAATACTCATACAACCAGGTACAGCAATACTCATACTCATACAACCAGGTACAACAATACTCATACAACCAGGTACAACAATACTCAAACAACCAGGTACAACAATACTCAAACAACCAGGTACAACAATACTCAGACAACCAGGTACAACAATACTCAAACAACCAGGTACAACAATACTCATACTCATACAACAATACTCATACAACCAGGTACAGCAATACTCATACTCATACAACCAGGTACAACAATCCTCATACAACCAGGTACAACAATACTCAAACAACCAGGTACAACAATACTCATACTCATACAACCAGGTACAACAATACTCATACAACCAGGTACAACAATACTCATACAACCAGGTACAACAATACTCAAACAACCAGGTACAACAATACTCATACAACCAGGTACAATACTCATACAACCAGGTACAACAATACTCATACTCATACAACCAGGTACAACAATACTCATACAACAATACTCATACTCATACAACCAGGTACAACAATCCTCCTACAACCAGGTACAATAATACTCAAACAACCAGGTACAACAATACTCAAACAACCAGGTACAACAATACTCATACAACCAGGTACAACAATACTCATACTCATACAACCAGGTACAACAATACTCATACAACCAGGTACAACAATACTCATACAACCAGGTACAACAATACTCATACAACCACCAGGTACAACAATACTCATACAACCAGGTACAACAATACTCATACAACCAGGTACAACAATACTCATACAACCAGGTACAATGATACTCATACAACCAGGTACAATAATACTCATACAACCAGGTACAATAATACTCATACAACCAGATACAATAATACTCATACAACCAGGTACAACAATACTCATACAACCAGGTACAATAATCATCATACAACCAGGTACAATAATACTCATACAACCAGGTACAACAATACTCATACAACCAGGTACAATACTCATACAACCAGGTACAACAATACTCATACAACCAGGTACAACAATACTCATACAACCAGGTACAACAATACTCATACAACCAGGTACAACAATACTCATACAACCAGGTACAACAATACTCATACAACCAGGTACAACAATACTCATACAACCAGGTACAACAATACTCATACAACCAGGTACAACAATACTCATACAACCAGGTACAACAATACTCATACAACCAGGTACAACAATACTCATACAACCAGGTACAACAATACTCATACAACCAGGTACAACAATACTCATACAACCAGGTACAACAATACTCATACAACCAGGTACAACAATACTCATACAACCAGGTCCAACAATACTCATACAACCAGGTACAACAATACTCATACAACCAGGTACAACAATACTCATACAACCAGGTACAACAATACTCATACAACCAGGTACAACAATACTCATACAACCAGGTACAACAATACTCATACAACCAGGTACAACAATACTCATACAACCACCAGGTACAACAATACTCATAAAAACTACCATGGACTCCTACCATGGACTCCCGGTCAAGGTGCACATCTGTGACTGTGATGTTGAGGAAGTCTGTGACACCAAGCTGCAGGAAGAAGTCATGCCACTGGCGGACATCATGTGGACTCACAGCCTGGTTCAGGTAGACAGCATCCAGCAGCACCCAGTCATAGCCTGGCAGACATACACACCGTCTTAGTCAACAGTAACGCCAGCCTCATTTCTAAATAGTGTCAATATATTTCCTTGTCAAGTACCAGAAACCTTGTGATGGTTATTCTCCATCACACTCAGCAATGTGCCTGCTATGTGTTGTGATTGACCAAGATCTACTACCCAGTTCATCAAGTCACTTTGTAGGACAAGCATATGTTGATTTGGATCACTTCATCTGTCTAAACCTTACAGCTGACACTGGAATAATGCTGGGAACACAGCATCTGGGTCAGTTGGTTCCCCCAAACAACTATATTTAATCAAGTGCCTTGGCTGACTTGACAGATGATGAAGCGTATACTCATCACATCTTGTTTATCTGTTTTCAGTATTTACGAACACAAGGAGAAAGTCACCTCGCAACTGTTGCTGCAGATCAATCTTGTTCCCGTAGGCTGGTGTGAAGTGCACAGCCTCATCTGCTGGCTTCTTCAGGCCGGAGTTGGTGACAACACGGGCCACAGATTTCAGTTCCGCCATGTTGATCAATGATGGCTGCAGCTCGCTCTGGGACTTGATGAAGAGTAGGTAACTGATGAGGATATCTCGGGACTTGGTCTGATGCAACAGAGCACAACAAACATGACACACCGACTAACAGCAGAATAGCCGACAGAATTTCAGTGGGAGATAACTTTCCTGTCATGTTTTAGAATTCATTGTTGGCAACATATGATGTGTGGTATGAGGGGAGACAACTCATATGACTCAGTTCAGACCTGACTCATGACAAGATATGAAGGTGAATGACATCAAGGGGAGACAACTCATATGACTCAGTTCAGACCTGACTCATGACAAGATATGAAGGTGAATGACATCAAGGGGAGACAACTCATATGACTCAGTTCAGACCTGACTCATGACAAGATATGAAGGTGAATGACATCAAGGGGAGACAACTCATATGACTCAGTTCAGACCTGACTCATGACAAGATATGAAGGTGAATGACATCAAGGGGAGACAACTTCTACGACTCAGTTCAGACCCAAGTAATGGCATGATGTAAAGGTGAATGAGAAGAAAGTGAGACAACTCTTGATGCAGACTTAAGGAATTGCAAGTTAAGTTTAAGAAATATATATAGGTACACAACTCACCTGCCATGCCTCAGACTTGAGAGTTGGCAATATATGATGGTGAATGATATCACGGGGAGACAACTGCTTCACTCCCACACGCTGGAGAATTTTCTGGACCTGAGAGTTGACCTCATTGTCAGATGTCGTGACGAGTCCAGGGTGCACCATGCAGAGGTCACGGTGCAACTCCGATAAGGGATCTGGTGAGAATCAAACAACAAAAAAACATCAGATAGCTGTCAACCTAGAGAAAAAAGACATGCCACTGTTGTCCATCTGTGGAATTTCAACCTGACAGTCCGCTATTGTCAATGGAAGAAGTACATTCAACCTGACAGTCCGCTATTGTCAATGGAAGAAGTACATTCAACCTGACAGTCCGCTATTGTCAATGGAAGAAGTACATTCAACCTGATAGTCCGCTATTGTCAATGGAAGAAGTACATTCAACCTGACAGTCCGCTATTGTCAATGGAAGAAGTACATTCAACCTGACAGTCCGCTATTGTCAATGGAAGAAGTACATTCAACCTGACAGTCCGCTATTGTCAATGGAAGAAGTACATTCAAACAGACAGTTCACTATTGTAAATCTGAGATGAACTTTCCACCTGACAGTCCGCTATTGTCAATCTGAGATGACCTTTCAACCTGACAGTCAACTATTGTCAATCTAAGGAATTTCAACCTGACAGTACACTATTGTCAATCTAAGGACTTTCAACCTGACAGTACACTATTGTCAATCTAAGGACTTTCAACTTGACAGTACACTATTGTCAATCTAAGGACTTTCAACCAGACAGTACACTATTGTCAATCTAAGGAGGACTTTCAACCTGACAGTACACTATTGTCAATCTAAGGACTTTCAACTTGACAGTACACTATTGTCAATCTAAGGACTTTCAACCAGACAGTACACTATTGTCAATCTAAGGAGGACTTTCAACCTGACAGTACACTATTGTCAATCTAAGGACTTTCAACTTGACAGTACACTATTGTCAATCTAAGGAGGACTTTCAACTTGACAGTCCGCTATTGTCAACCTAAGGAGGACTTTCAACCTGTTGTCATTCTAAGGACTTTCAACTTGACAGTACACTATTGTCAACCTAAGGAGGACTTTCAACCTGACAGTACACTATTGTCATTCTAAGGACTTTCAACCTGACAGTACACTATTGTCAATCTAAGGACTTTCAACTTGACAGTACACTATTGTCAATCTAAGGACTTTCAACCAGACAGTACACTATTGTCAATCTAAGGAGGACTTTCAACCTGACAGTACACTATTGTCAACCTAAGGAGGACTTTCAACCTGACAGTACACTATTGTCAATCTAAGGACTTTCAACCAGACAGTACACTATTGTCAATCTAAGGAGGACTTTCAACCTGACAGTACACTATTGTCAATCTAAGGACTTTCAACCTGACAGTAAACTATTGTCAATCTAAGGAGGACTTTCAACTTGACAGTACACTATTGTCAATCTAAGGACTTTCAACCTGACAGTACACTATTGTCAATCTAAGGACTTTCAACCAGACAGTACACTATTGTCAATCTAAGGAGGACTTTCAACCTGACAGTACACTATTGTCAATCTAAGGACTTTCAACCTGACAGTACACTATTGTCAATCTAAGGACTTTCAACCAGACAGTACACTATTGTCAATTTAAGGACTTTCAACCTGACAGTACACTATTGTCAATCTATGGACTTTCAACCTGACAGTACACTATTGTCAATCTAAGGACTTTCAACCTGACAGTACACTATTGTCAATCTAAGGACTTTCAACCAGACAGTACACTATTGTCAATCTAAGGAGGACTTTCAACCTGACAGTACACTATTGTCAATCTAAGGACTTTCAACCTGACAGCCTGTTGCTGTAAAACATTCATACCTCTTCTGCCGAACTGCGGAGTTTGTGATGTTTGTTTTGAGTCAACAGGTGGCAAGAACACGGTCACCTCAGCTAGACACACCAGCTGACCAGTGGACAGGGGGATGATGCGGGTTGTTTTGAGGTTTTGAAACACCTGGTCATTCTCCTGGAATTCGTCCAGACTACGATACACACAGGCGAGCCACTTCGCCACCGTCACCACCTTCTCTGCACCTGCCGGATATACACAGTAGAGTCACATATCTGTCTGCAGCTGCACTCTGTAGCTTTACCTAAATGTCAACCTGAGTGAGTGCGTGCGTGCGTGCGTGCGGAGAGAGTTTAAATTTAATGTCGCATCAGTGTTACTTCAGCCAAATAGCAACGCTTGACTAAAACCAAGTGACTTTAGTTTCGAAATGGGCTTCAAGCAATGTATGAGTTATGATTACACAATGCCATTTAGAAAGTGGTCAAATGTAACACATGTTATATTTGGGATTACACTTTCTTAGTAAAGTACAGATTCTAGTACTTTTTTGGGTTGAGTCCCATCCAGGATTCGAACCCACACCCTCAGAGTCAGGCGACAAATTGCCAGCACACAAAGTCAGCCAACTAACCGCTGGAAGTCGCGGTGGCTTTCAGCATGACAGAGTATGAAACTTTAACCATTAGGCTACTATACCTTCCCTGACAAAGAACACCTCATGTAGTACTTACTGTCAATCGTTTGAGTATCCCATGAGAGCGCCAGAGACTTGCCGATCTGCAGCAGATGGTCGACAGTGATGCTTTCCACACCGAGGCTCTGAGCCAGGGCAGGGGTTAAAGTCATGGCCACATCAGCGTGCAGATAGTAGAGGTTCAGATTCTTCTGTAGTAGGTCAGGGGAGATAACTTCCTTCACAAGGGTGTCGCGCACAATCACTGTCTGGGACGGGATCTTCAATTGTACAGATCCTGAAAACAAGAACCACACAATTATATACTGACGTGGATGCTAGGATATTAGAAGTTGTATGCTTCACTCGAGGGTAATACGGCCTGATGTACGCCTCTTTGTAGCAGTGTCACCTGAGCCGGTAGTTCCTTGTTCCTTGTACCTTGGCCACTTATGTACCCTTTAGATGTTGTAGAAAGGTAGCAATAAGTGTACCTTATATGTAAGTGCACTCACACAGTGGGAAGCACTACCTTTCTTGCTGGTCTGTACAGGCAGGCACTCCTTAGCCCGGAGTTTCCCCAGGATCTGGGTGGCGACGGGACGGAAGAAGTCAAGAATTTCATCCTCCATGGGCACAAACTGAAGGTAGGCAGCAAGTGCTTCCATGTTGCTGAAGTCTGGGTGAGACTGAAGACAGGAAGATGAAGAAAATCCAGACTACTTTACAGTCATAGTTCCTGGGCAGATGTGGAAGGAAATTTAGCACGAGAGAACTTAGGTCATGATGAACTCCTGATAATTACGCCGTGACATGTTGAAAGGGTGTATGCCTACCTTGAAGACATGCAGCGCCTCGATGAACAGGGTGTGGATTTCATTTCTCAACCACTGGTTCCATGGACTGTCACGATCAACGTCCTCACGACTGGATGGCACATCAAAGTCACCTTCCGAGACAAGACAGTTGTTCATCACAACATAATCACACATCAATACAACAGTCACATCAATTCAACATAGTCACACATCAATGCAACATAGTCACACATCAATGCAACAGTCACACATCAAAACAACATAGTCACACATCAATACAACAGTCACATCAATTCAACATAGTCACACATCAATGCAACATAGTCACACATCAATGCAACAGTCACACATCAATACAACAGTCATACATCAATACAACAGTCACACATCAATATAACATAGTCACACATCAATACAACAGTCACATCAATTCAACATAGTCACAAATCAATGCAACATAGTCACACATCAATGCAACAATCACACATCAAAACAACATAGTCACACATCAATACAACAGTCACATCAATACAACAGTCATACATCAATACAACAGTCACATCAATACAACAGTAATACATCAATACAACAGTCACATCAATTCAACATAGTCACACATCAAAACAACATAGTCACACATCAATACAACAGTCATACATCAATACAACAGTCACACATCAATACAACATGGTCACACATCAATACAACAGTCATACATCAATACAACAGTCATACATCAATACAACAGTCATACATCAATTCAACAGTCACACATCAATACAACAGTCACACATCAATACAACAGTCATCATCAGCACACAGCAATACACACATCAATACAACAGTCCACACATCAATACAACAGCCACACATCAATACAACAGTTACATCACTGACACATCAATTCACATAGTCACACATCACTACAACAGTCACACATCAATACAACAGTCCACACATCAATACAACAGTCACACATCAATACAACAGTCACACATCAATACAACAGTAACACATCAATACAACAATACACATCACATAGTGACACATCAATCAACACATCAATACAACAGTCACACATCAATACAACAGCCACACATCAATACAACAGCCACATTTCAATGCAACATAGTGACAGATCCATACAACATAGTCACCCATTAATACAACAGTCACACATCAATACAACAGTCCCATCAATACAACAGTCACACATCACTACAACAGTCACACATCACAGCAACATAGTCACACCTCAATACAACAGTCACACATCAATACAACAGTCACATCACAGCAACATAGTCATACATCAATACAACAGTCACACATCAATACAACATAGTCACATATCAATACAACAGTCACACATCAATACAACATAGTCACATCAATACAACAGTCATACATCAATACAAGTCACACAAATACAACAAAGTCACACAAATACAACAGTCACACATCAATACAACATAGTCACATCAATAAAACAGTCACACATCAATACAACAGTCACATCAATACAACATAGTCACATCAATGCAGTCACACATCACTACAACATAGTCACATCAATAAAACAGTCACACATCAATACAACATAGTCACATCAATACAACATAGTCACATCAATACAACATACATCAGTCACATCAATACAGTCACACATCACTACAACATAGTCACACATCAATACAACATAGACACATCATAACAAGTCACACATCAATAAACATAGTCACATCAATACAACAGTCATACATCAATACAAGTCACACAAATACAACAAAGTCACACAAATACAACAGTCACACATCAATACAACATAGTCACATCAATAAAACAGTCACACATCAATACAACAGTCACATCAATACAACATAGTCACATCAATGCAGTCACACATCACTACAACATAGTCACATCAATAAAACAGTCACACATCAATACAACATAGTCACATCAATACAACATAGTCACATCAATACAACATAGTCACATCAATACAGTCACACATCACTACAACATAGTCACACATCAATACAACATTCACACATCATAACAAGTCACACATCGATAAACAAAGTCACACATCAATAGAACAGTCACATATCAATACAAAATAGTCACATCAATCAAACATAGTCACATCAATACACTAGTCACAAATCAATACAACATAGTCAGATCAATACAACAGTCACACATCAATACAACAGTCACACATCCACACAACAGCAGTCACATCACACATCACAACAAGCACAGTCACACATCACTACAACAGTCACACACCACTACAACAGTCACACACCACTACAACACAGTCACACACTACAACAGTCACACACTACAACACAGTCACACACCACCACAACACAGTCACACAGTACACACAGTCACACCACTACAACACAGTCACACAACACAGTCACAACACAGTCACACACCACTACAACACAGTCACACACCACTACAAGCAGTCACACACCACTACAGTCACACACCACTACAACACGGTACAACAGTCACACACCACAACAGTCACACACAGTACAACACAGTCACCACTACAACAGTCACACACCACTACAACAGTCACACCACTACAACACACAGTCACACCACACTCACCACTACACAGTCACACACCACTACACACAGTCACACACCACTCACTACAACACAGTCACACACCACTACAACACAGTCACACATCACAGTCACACACAGTCAAACAGTCACACACCATCACAACACAGTCACACAGTCACCACAACACAGTCACACACCACAACACAGTCACACACACAGTCACACACCACTACAACACAGTCACACACCACTACAACAGTCACACACCACACACACCACTACAAACAGTCACACACCACTACAACACAGTCACACACCACTACAACACAGTCACACACCACTACAACACAGTCACACACCACTACAACAGTCACACTCACACACAACACAGTCACACCACTACAACACAGTCACACACCACTACAACAGTCACACACCACTACAACACAGTCACACACCACTACAACACAGTCACACACCACTACAACACAGTCACACACCACTACAACAGTCACACACCACTACAACACAGTCACACACCACTACAACACAGTCACACTACAACACAGTCACACACCACTACAACACAGTCACACACCACTACAACACAGTCACACACCACACAGTCACACACTACAACAGTCACCACTACAACGGTCACACACCACTACAACACAGTCACACATCACTACAACAGTCACACACCACTACAACACAGTCACACACCACTACAAACAGTCACACAGTCACTACACACACACAGTCACACAGTCACACAACCACTCACAACAGTCCACTACAACACAGTCACACACCACTACAACACAGTCACACACCACTACAACAGTCACACACCACTACAACACAGTCACACACCACTACAACACAGTCACACACCACTACAACAGTCACACTAAATACAACACAGTCACACATCACTACAACACAGTACACACAGTCACTACAACACACACACATCACTACAACAGTCACACAACACACACACACCACAGTACACACAGTCACAGTCACTACAACAGTCACACTAAATACAACACTACAACACAGTCACACACCACTACAACACACACACCACACTCACACAGTCACACACCACTACAACAGTCACACACAGTCACTACACACAGTCACACACTACAACACTACACAACAGTCACACTACAACAGTCACACATACACAGTCACACACCACACAACACCACTACAACAGTCACACACCACTACAACAGTCACACTAAATACAACACAGTCACACACCACTACAACAACAGTCACACACCACTACAACAGTCACACACCACTACAACACAGTCACACATCACTACAACAGTCACAACTACAACACTACAACACAGTCACACAGTCACTACAACAGTCACACAGTCACACTATCAATACAACACAGTCACACACCACTACAACACAGTCACACACCACAGTACAACAGTCACACTACAACACAGTCACACACCACTACAACACAGTCACACCACTACAACACAGTCACACACCACTACAACAGTCACACATCACTACAACACAGTCACACACTGCTACATAGAAATACAACAATACAACAGTCACATCACTATAACATAGTCACCTAACAATACAACATAGTGTATCTGTGACTCACCTTGAATGATGAACCTGAAGCCGTAGCTACGAAGGGGCAGGAAGGCAAAGACGGGCTGCTTGTTTGGGAGGACATGAACGTTCACCTTCTGATCCTTGTGGTTGAGAGGGAATGCAAGAGCTATCTCAGTGGACTCCACGTCTACACCAGACTTGGCCTGGACAGACAGCAAGATCTCACAGGCCATCAACTCATTACCGATTAGAGAGGCTTGTGTTAATGGGGTTACAGTGTCCACGTCCGGTAACACTTATTGTTGTTCCTATTGCTATTGAGGGGATCAACTAATGCATACACTGTAGTCTGGAAATAATCAGTAATATTGTAGACAAATGAACAATTGATGAACCCACCTGTGTAACTGTCGTCAAGGAACCCACATGTGTGCTGTGTGTACCTGTCATCAAGGAACATACCTGGATGTGGTGTGTACCTGTCATCAAGGAACCCACATGTGTGCTGTTTGTACCTGTCATCAAGGAACCCACCTGTGTGTGGTGTGTACCTCTCATCAAGGAACCCACCTGTGTGTGGTGTGTACCTGTCATCAAGGAACCCACCTGTGTGTGGTGTGTACCTGTCATCAAGGAACCCACTTGTATGTGGTGTGTACCTGTTGTCAAGGAACCCACCTGTGTGTGGTGTGTACCTGTCGTCAAGGAACCCACCTGTGTGTGGTGTGTACCTCTCATCAAGGAACCCACATGTATGCTGTGTGTACCTGTCGTCAAGGAACCCACCTGTGTGTGGTGTGTACCTCTCATCAAGGAACCCACCTGTGTGTGGTGTGTACCTGTCATCAAGGAACCCACCTGTGTGTGGTGTGTACAAGGAACCCACCTGTGTGTGGTGTGTACCTGTCATCAAGGAACCCACTTGTATGTGGTGTGTACCTGTCGTCAAGGAACCCACCTGTGTGTGGTGTGTACCTGTCATCAAGGAACCCACATGTGTGCTGTGTGTACCTGTCATCAAGGAACCCACCTGTGTGTGGTGTGTACCTCTCATCAAGGAACCCACCTGTGTGTGGTGTGTACCTGTCATCAAGGAACCCACCTGTGTGTGGTGTGTACCTGTCATCAAGGAACCCACTTGTATGTGGTGTGTACCTGTCGTCAATGAACCCACCTCGATGTGGTGTGTACCTGTCGTCAAGGAACCCACCTGTGTGTGGTGTGTACCTGTTAGGGCTGCGCATTATAACCGGTTTACCGGTATTTACCGGTTAAGACATGAAAACGATACGTATTGCGATACGCTGATCGAAAACCGGTATTTTGACTTGCATTCGGAAAACTTCGTAACACTCGGAAATGTTCGGATATGTCCTTGTTTCATTTCTGCCAAACATTATTCACATTTTTATTTATCATGATTAAAAGTTGTTATTAAAGCTTAATCAAGCCTAGTGATTTTGTTGTGTTTTTGCTCTATAAATCAAGAAGTAACTCGATTATAAGTAGTTTTTTTGTTTAAAAATACTTCATGCAATATATTGCAATACATATCGCAATACATGCTTTCGCATCGCAATATATCGCAATATGAAAATTCTCTGCAATACCCACCCCTAGTACCTGTCGTCAATGAACCCACCTGTACTGAGATGGACGATGCATCCAACAGCTTCCTAATAACCAGCCATCTGTCAACCTTGGTTCCATGGTCGATCTCGATGACACCTTCCCCGAGATCCCGACGCCGCATCGTCACGACATTGCATTCAATCTGACAAAAAAAACAAAGAAATGATTTTGTCATCACATTCATATGGCTGGGTGTAGCCTGGTATTAGATTTCAACAAAGAGTCTTCCAAATAACCTGCCTGTGTCTGACATCCCTGTGTTCTCTGTCTGTGTAAGCACTCACCATGTTCTCTGCCCATGTCTAGGCCAGCACTCACCATGTTCTCTGCCCATGTCTAGGCCAGCACTCCAATGTCTAGCCCATGTCTAGGCCAGCACTCACCATGTCATATGCCCATGTCTAGGCCAGCACTCACCATGTCATATGCCCATGTCTATTCCAGCACTCTCAATGTTATATGCCCATGTCTATTCCAGCACTCTTCATGTTCTCTGCCCATGTCTATTCCAGCACTCTCCATGTCATATGCCCATGTCTATTCCAGCACTCACCATGTTCTCTGCCCATGTCTATTCCAGCACTCACCAAGTTCTATGCCCATGTCTATTCCAGCACTCTCCATGTCATATGCCCATGTCTAGGCCAGCATTGAACAAGTTCTCTGCCCATGTCTATTCCAGCACTCACCATGTTCTCTGCCCATGTCTATTCCAGCACTCACCATGTTCTCTGCCCATGTCTATTCCAGCACTCACCATGTCATATGCCCATTTCTAGGCCAGCACTCACCATGTTCTCTGCACATGTCTATTCCAGCACTCACCATGTTCTCTGCCCATGTCTAGGCCAGCACTCACCATGTTCTCTGCCCATGTCTAGGCCAGCACTCACCATGTTCTCTGCCCATGTCTAGGCCAGCACTCACCATGTTTTCTGCACATGTCTAGGCCAGCACTCATCATGTTCTATGCCCATGTCTATTCCAGCATTCAACAAGTTATATGCCCATGTCTATTCCAGCACTCACAAAGTTCTATGCCCATGTCTATTCCAGCACTCTCCATGTCATATGCCCATGTCTAGGCCAGCACTCACGAAGTTATATCCCAATGTCTATTCCAGCACTCACCAAGTTATATGCCCATGTTTATTCCAGCACTCTAGTGTTATATGCCCATGTCTATTCCAGCACTCTCAAAGTTCTATGCCCATGTCTATTCCAGCACTCTCCATGTTATATGCCCATGTCTATTCCAGCACTCTCAATGTTATATGCCCATGTCTATTCCAGCACTCACAAAGTTCTATGCCCATGTCTAGGCCAGCACTCACCATGTCATATGCCCATGTCTAGGCCAGCACTCACCATGTTCTCTGCCCATGTCTATTCCAGCACTCACCATGTCATATGCCCATGTCTAGGCCAGCACTCACCATGTTCTCTGCCCATGTCTATTCCAGCACTCACAATGTTCTATGCCCATGTCTAGGCCAGCACTCACCATGTCATATGCCCATGTCTAGGCCAGCACTCACCATGTTCTATGCCCATGTTATATGCCCATGTCTATTCCAGCACTCTCCATGTTATATGCCCATGTCTATTCCAGCACTCTCAATGTTATATGCCCATGTCTATTCCAGCACTCACAAAGTTCTATGCCCATGTCTATTAAAACACTCACAAAGTTCTATGCCCATGTCTAGGCCAGCACTCACCATGTCATATGTCCATGTTTATTCCAGCACTCTCCATGTTATATGCCCATGTCTATTCCAGCACTCACAAAGTTCTATGCCCATGTCTATTCCAGCACTCTCCATGTTATATGCCCATGTCTATTCCAGCACTCACAAAGTTCTATGCCCATGTCTATTCCAGCACTCACAAAGTTCTATGCCCATGTCTAGGCCAGCACTCACCATGTCATATGCCCATGTTTATTCCAGCACTCTCCATGTTATATGCCCATGTCTATTCCAGCACTCACAAAGTTCTATGCACATGTCTATTCCAGCACTCTCCATGTTATATGCCCATGTCTATTCCAGCACTCTCAATGTTATATGCCCATGTCTATTCCAGCACTCACCATGTTCTCTGCACATGTCTAGGCCAGCACTCACCATGTTCTCTGCACATGTCTAGGCCAGCACTCACCATGTTCTATGCCCATGTCTAGGCCAGCACTCACCATGTTCTCTGCACATGTCTAGGCCAGCACTCACCATGTTCTCTGCCCATGTCTAGGCCAGCACTCACCATGTTCTCTGCACATGTCTAGGCCAGCACTCACCATGTTCTCTGCACATGTCTAGGCCAGCACTCATCATGTTCTCTGCCCATGTCTATTCCAGCATTCAACATGTTATATGCCCATGTCTATTCCAGCACTCACAAAGTTCTATGCCCATGTCTATTCCAGCACTCTCCATGTCATATGCCCATGTCTAAGCCAGCATTCACCATGTCATATGCCCATGTCTATTCCAGCACTCTCCATGTTCTCTGCCCATGTCTATTCCAGCACTCTCCATGTCATATGGCCATGTCTATTCCAGCACTCACCATGTTATCTGCCCATGTCTAGGCCAGCACTCATCATGTTCTATGCCCATGTCTATTCCAGCATTCAACAAGTTATATGCCCATGTCTATTCCAGCACTCACAAAATTCTATGCCAATGTCTATTCCAGCACTCTCCATGTCATATGCCCATGTCTAGGCCAGCATTCACAAAGTTCTATGACCATGTCTATTCCAGCACTCTCCATGTCATATCTCCATGTCATATCCCCATGTCTAGGCCAGCACTCACAAAGTTATATCCCAATGTCTATTCCAGCACTCACCAAGTTATATGCCCATGTTTATTCCAGCACTCTAGTGTTATATGCCCATGTCTATTCCAGCACTCACAATGTTCTATGCCCATGTCTATTCCAGCACTCACCATGTTCTCTGCCCATGTCTAGGCCAGCACTCACCATGTTTTCTGCACATGTCTAGGCCAGCACTCATCATGTTCTATGCCCATGTCTATTCCAGCATTCAACAAGTTATATGCCCATGTCTATTCCAGCACTCACAAAGTTCTATGCCCATGTCTATTCCAGCACTCTCCATGTCATATGCCCATGTCTAGGCCAGCACTCACGAAGTTATATCCCAATGTCTATTCCAGCACTCACCAAGTTATATGTCCATGTTTATTCCAGCACTCTAGTGTTATATGCCCATGTCTATTCCAGCACTCACAAAGTTCTATGCCCATGTCTATTCCAGCACTCTCCATGTTATATGCCCATGTCTATTCCAGCACTCTGAATGTTATATGCCCATGTCTATTCCAGCACTCACAAAGTTCTATGCCCATGTCTATTCCAGCACTCTCCATGTCATATGCCCATGTCTATTCCAGCCCTCATATGCCCATATATGCCCATGTTCTATGCCCATGCCAGCACTCTCCATGTCATATGCCCATGTCTAGGCCAGCACTCAATGTTATGTTCTCTCCAGCACCCATGTTCTCTATGGCCAGCACTCATTCAATGTTCTATGCCCATGTCTAGGCCAGCACTCACCATGTCACATGCCCATGTCTAGGCCAGCACTCACCATGTTCCCTGTTATGCCCATGTCTATTCCAGCACTCACCATTTCTCATCTGTCCATGTCTAGGGCCAGCACTCACCATGTTCTCTGCCCATGTCTATTCCAGCACTCTCCATGTTCTATGCCCATGTCTATTCCAGCACTCACAATGTTCTATGCCCATGTCTATTCCAGCACTCACCATGTTCTATGCCCATGTCTAGGCCAGCACTCACCATGTTCTATGCCCATGTCTAGGCCAGCACTCACCATGTTCTCTCTGCCAATGTCATATGCTCACCATGTTCTCTGCCCATGTCTAGGCCAGCACTCACCATGTTCTCTGCCCATGTCTATTCCAGCACTCAACAAGTTCTATGCCCATGTCTATTCCAGCACTCTCCAATGTTCTATGCCCATGTCTATTCCAGCACTCACCATGTCATATGCCCATGTCTAGGCCAGCACTCACCAAGTTATATCCCAATGTCTATTGCAGCACTCACCAAGTTACATGCCCATGTTTATTCCAGCACTCTCCATGTTATATGCCAATGTCTATTCCAGCACTCACCATGTTCTATGCCCATGTCTATTCCAGCACTCACCATGTTCTCTGCACATGTCTAGGCCAGCACTCACCATGTTCTCTGCCCATGTCTATTCCAGCATTCAACAAGTTATATGCCCATGTCTATTCCAGCACTCACAATGTTCTATGCCCATGTCTATTCCAGCACTCACCATGTCATATGCCCATGTCTAGGCCAGCACTCACCAAGTTATATCCCAATGTCTATTGCAGCACTCACCAAATTATATGCCCATGTTTATTCCAGCACTCTCCATGTTATATGCCAATGTCTATTCCAGCACTCACCAAGTTATATGCCCATGTTTATTCCAGCACTCTCCATGTTATATGCCCATGTCTATTCCAGCACTCACAAAGTTCTATGCCCATGTCTATTCCAGCACTTTCCATGTTATATGCCCATGTCTAGGCCAGCACTCACCAAGTTCTATGCCCATGTCTATTCCAGCACTCTCCATGTCTTATGCCCATGTCTATTCCAGCACTCACCAAGTTCTCCAGGGTTATCTGCCTTAGTCGATGCAGGAACAGCAGCAGGGACGGGTGGATGTCATTGAACCTGGCAGCGAGTGACCTTGTCTGCAGACTCATCTCTTCCTTCAGAGGCAGATAGATGTGAGTAGTCCAGCTGAAAGCAGTTCACACATGCTGAACACTTCATCACAGATCACACACATGCTGAACACTTCATCACAGATCACACACATGCTGAACACTTCATCATAGATCACACATGCTGAACACTTCATCACAGATCACACACATGCTGAAAACGTCATCACAGATCCACACATGCTGAACACTTCATCACAGATCACACACATGCTGAACACTTCATCACAGATCACAAATGCTGAACACTTCATCACAGATCACACACATGCTGAACACTTCATCACAGATCACACTGAACACTTCATCACAGATCACACATGCTGAACACTTCATCACAGATCACACATATGCTGAACACTTCAATACAGATCATACTTGTGCTGAACACTTCATCAAAGAGCACACATGCTGAACACTTCATCACAGACACTTCATCACAGATCACACATGCTGAACACTTCATCACAGATCACACATGCTGAACACTTCATCACAGATCACACACATGCTGAACACTTCATCACAGATCACATGCATGCCGAACACTTCATCACAGATCACATGCTGAACACTTCATCACAGATCACACATGCTGAACACTTCATCACAGATCACACATGCTGAACACTTCATCACAGATCACACATGCTGAACACTTCATCACAGATCACACACATGCTGAACACTTCATCACAGACCACACATGCTGAACACTTCATCACAGATCACACACATGCTGAACACTTCATCACAGATCACACACATGCTGAACACTTCATCACAGATCACACACATGCTGAACACTTCATCACAGATCACATGCTGAACACTTCATCACAGATCACACATGCTGAACACTTCATCATCACAGATCACACACATGCTGAACACTTCATCACAGATCACAGATCATCACAGACATGCTGAACATTCACACAGATCACTTCATGCTGAACACTTCATCACAGACACACATGCTGAACACTTCATCACAGATCACACATGCTGAACACTTCATCACAGATCACACATGCTGAACACTTCATCACAGATCACACATGCTGAACACTTCATCACAGATCACACATGCTGAACACTTCATCACAGATCACTCAGCTCCACTATGTCTCACCACAATCAGCTCCACTATGTCTCACCACAATCAGCTCCACTCATGTCTCACCACAATCAGCTCCACTATGTCTCACCACAATCAGCTCCACTCATGTCTCACCATCAGCAGCACTCAGCTCCACTATGTCTCACCACAATCAGCTCCACTATGTCTCCACTATGTCTCACCACAATCAGCTCCACTATGTCTCACCTCACAATCAGCTCCACTATGTCTCACCACAATCCATGCTCCACCATATGTCTCACCACAATCAGCTCCACTATGTCTCACCACAATCAGCTCCACACTATCTCACCACAATATCAGCTCCACTATGTCTCACCACAATCAGCTCCACTATGTCTCACCACAATCAGCTCCACTCCATGTCTCATGTCTCACCACAATCAGCTCCACTATGTCTCACCACTATCAGCTCCACTATGTCTCACCACTCCATCAGTCAATCAGCTCCACTATGTCTCACCACAATCAGCTCCACTATGTCTCACCACAATCAGCTCCACTATGTCTCACCACCACATCAGCTCCATCATGTCTCACCATGCTCCACTCTCTCACATCAGCTCCACTATGTCTCACCACTATCAGCTCCACTATGTCTCACCACTCATCAGCTCCACTATGTCTCACCACAATCAGCTCCACCACTCACCACTATCAGCTCCACTATGTCTCACCACATCAGCTCCACTATGTCTCACCACAATCAGCTCCACTATGTCTCACCACAATCAGCTCCACTATGTCTCACCACAATCAGCTCCACTATGTCTCACCACAATCAGCTCCACTATGTCTCACCACAATCAGCTCCACTATGTCTCACCACAATCAGCTCCACTATGTCTCACCACAATCAGCTCCACTATGTCTCACCACATCAGCTCCACTATATCTCACCACTATCAGCTCCACTATGTCTCACCACAATCAGCTCCACTATGTCTCACCACAATCAGCTCCACTATGTCTCACCACAATCAGCTCCACTATGTCTCACCACTATCAGCTCCACTATGTCTCACCACAATCAGCTCCACTATGTCTCACCACAATCAGCTCCACTATGTCTCACCACAATCAGCTCCACTATGTCTCACCTCACTCATGTCTCCACAATCAGCTCCACTATGTCTCACCACAATCAGCTCCACTATGTCTCACCACAATCAGCTCCTCCCCTTGCTCCCTCAGGTCCTTGATGTCAGCAGCCGAGAAGACTTCCGTGATGGCATCTGGGGGTGGCAGACACTTGTTGGTGAGAGTGACCGTCCACTCCTGGACCCCCAGAAGACATCCCAGCTTCTCCAGCTGCTGGACCCTCCGACTGTCATTGTGACAAGCCGACAATAGAAGTAATTTGGACTTAGTGGTACCGACGACCTGACCCAGCGGTTCCAGGAAGATCTACAAATATCAGACAAATCATAAATGAAAGTAGTGTTTGGAACAGTTATATTGTAATGAGGGTGGTGTTCATTAGAGGCACGACTACTATTATGAAGAGATCACAAATAAACAACCACACAAAGGTCACAGTGCACCAACATGTTCTTCATAAGAGGCTGGAGGATCATCTGTCAAGGCCAAGCATTTGCCAGTTAACGTAGGCATGGATAGTCACCCTGGTTGGCAAGGATAGTGGATGGCAAGGATAGATCACCTGGTATCAGCATCAGCTATTTGTTGAAGATAGATCACCTGTTTGGTGATTAGATCTTACCTGGTTGGCAAGGGCAACAGACAGTCTGAGTGGCAGCTTCACCAGACACTCCATGACAAACATGACTGCCGGGTCGGACACGTCGACCTGTGGGGGTCCACCTGGACATACAGTACATGTTGGTAGAAATCAAAATACATGTAGAGCAGCAGTATGGTCCTGAAAGTGCCGGACACAAAACATCAGATTCACTCTTCCAAACTATGTATATGGATAGAGAATCACGTACAGTGCACATGTAAAACCAAAAAAACTCTTATGATATGACTGATTCTCTGTTACCATGGTTACCTGGTGTCTGACTGGCAGCATGAAGGGAAAACAGGGCTGTCTTCATGTGATTGGCCAAAAGAGCAGTGGGAGTGTTCTCAATACCCTTGTTCATCATCACCATGGAAACAAGATGGCCGCAAACACCTTGGACATCCTTGCTGGACAGAGCATCTTGGAACTTTTCAGGTGATGTCTGGCTAACCAGTTTCAGCAAAACTCCAGGCTGGGTCTCCATGGCAACGACATCAGTTGTGACCTTCTTAGTGCCACCTGTAAAAACACATTACACGACCATGGCTCCCAGCAAGTAATATGGCCTTGACCCTTGCATCTTTCACGACAAGTGTAATCCTAGGTGCCAAGACAGCAGCATCACAACATTTAAACAGAAGAATTTCTTCCATGTTGAGAGAGTATACCTGCTGATTTAATGCTATTTTTAATAGGGAGCCAACTTACAGAACATCATCATTTGGTTAATCTGAAACCTACACAGGCATGGAGGAATGTCAAACAGTAAACAATCTGTGCACCAGTGTCACGTAGTCCCAAACCTGAAGTGTTCATTCTTGTCTTTCCATCTGTCCTTAGTAATGTGGGTCATTTAGAAAACAGTGCGGGCAATGTCAAAGTAACTTGTTAGCCATATAGTACTTAGATACTTGTATCAGTGTTTCCGTTCTCCAAGATATGCCAGATTTTGGTAAAATTGGCCCAGACCAGTAATTTTTCAGTGTGACTTTCCTACACACTAAATCCCAGTTTCTAAAATAATCTCCACTCAACTTGTAGTCCAGAAATAGAAGTGAGTGGCTCCGGATTCATTCAGACTGAATATTTTACTTTTACAACGTGTACAGCTGTAGCAATCAAATAACAAAACTTAACTGATATTTTCCACCTGCATGCTCCGAAGTAGATATAGCGCATGGAACCCCATTGAGCATTGTTACATAACATCGCGATGGTATAGTGAGCGCTTCACTTGCGGAAAAATACTGGTTCTCAACCCAATTGTTTCATGATAAAAGTATGTTTCAGCCAGAGTTTTCTCTGTTTCTGACCAGTTGCTGCAGGAAGGTGTCGGCTTCACACAGTTATCCATAATACAGGTGATGGTTGTGTTCAGTTCAGAGCAGGAGCATCACATAGTAGGAGATTCACTATGTAATTAGGATACAAGGGCGTGAATAAACCAAGCCAAATAACCCCATTACAAAAGTCACTTCTGACAAGCATGGGTTGCTGAAGATCACTTCTAACCTGGATGTGCCAAGAAGTTTAGAGCTGCCACCTACCTTCTGTCATGAGAGACGTGATGCCACCATACTTGTGGATGAAGTCTTTCAGTTTGCCGAGCTGGGGCAGGAACACCATGTCCCAGTGACTCCACTCTGCCATGTCCACCAGCAGGGGGCAGTTGTGGAGACAGGCCAGGGCGTGCTCGCGAGTCCGGTGACCCAGAATCCCACCTTCACATCACCTCTGTGGCTGGACAGACACAACACCAGCATCAAACATCAATGTACTATACCGTTACACACACCAACAAGTCTTAGACTACTGGCAGACCCTGGGTTATTGAGGTTTTAGATTGACGACCACCACGAAGCTGGACAGAGACACAACACCAGCATCAAACATCAATGTACTATACCGTTATACACACCAACAAGTCTTAGACTACTGGCAGACCCTGGGTTATTGAGGTTTTAGATTGACGACCATACCGTTACACACACCAACGAGGCTGGACAGAGACACAACACCAGCATCAAACATCAATGTACTATACCGTTACACACACCAACAAGTCTTAGACTACTGGCAGACCCTGGGTTATTGAGGTTTTAGATTGACGACCCCGACAGAGAGA